TTAACACAGAAAACAACTTACCGCGGGACATCAGGCTGGAAGGATGTTTCCCACTACCCACTAATGCAAAAGACTTGTCCTAGAACCAACCACGCTCTGATACCAAATTGAAACGCCCTAACCCGGAAATCCGAACTGCGGTAAGGATTTGACTCGACCACTTCCTGGTCAGTCTCGGGTATTTTTAAGTTTTTCCCATACTTAGTCATTTTCAGCGTTTTCTTTTGATTCATTTAAGCCATTTTAAACACAAATGCATTACTTAGGTAAAAACGAGGTTCGAGCATACAATGAAGGTTCGCTATAAGCTACTACAATTTGCTATAAGCTATTACATTGTTCTACTCGACCATAGTCTACCCAAGCCTAACATCCTTCTTCCTTGCCTTAGTCCCGCGGTCCAGAACAGTTCCCATCACGGGCTAAATCACCTGCATCCACGAAAGGAGACATAAGCAACAGAATTGCTTAGTGAGAGCGGTCATCCCATCCCACTTAGCCACAGTAAAGAAAATCGCAATCAACAGTCCATTCAATCATCCAATAATCACTTAAACAATCAATGATCGGCTAAACAGCCCTCATATGGCCTCGGGCCTCACTTTTGGCCTCGGGCCTTCTATGGTCATCGGACCTCATCGGCTATAAAGCCTAACTTGGCCTCAGGCCTTCACTATTATGCAGAGAAACAGAATATAACAGTAAAGGTACCATAGAACAGTTCAAGCAATCAGTAAACAATCGAATCTATGCTAGATCACGAGTCTAAACTATAGCCCACGGTCGCGCACTCACCTTTGTTTCTCGGCTGTTGCAGATTCAAAAAGATAGCCGACGGTTTTCAGAAGAACTCCCTGATTCAGAACGTTTCTCTCGGATGCAGTTGAAGTTTCTCGGCGATAGACGGAATCACCCGGCTATCCTATGATCAAATTCGGCGAACTCTCGGATATCTCACGGTCGGATCACAAACTCTCGGATGAAATCTCTTTCGATTGTTCTTTCTCTTTTCTCTCTATTTCCTCTCGGATACTTAGCAGAATAATGAAGTTTCTGTGATTTTCCCTTGTTAAAGTGACGGTTCTCGGATATAATTGATCAATGACTCAATCCGCTGCGTTTTCCCTCAAGTAACTGAATGTCAGAACCGTTCCCGCACCTTTTCCCTCGATCATTTAACTTAGCCAGACCAGATTGATGTTCCCGTTCACTTGAACCGACGAAATCCGCTTGGTTCACTCAAATAGCCGGTTCTGATTGATCTTAGCCGATCAATTCTCTCGGATGAAACCGATAACTGTTCCCGCCAATCTTGTCCGTGCCTTTTTCAATAACTCCCTCGGATATAACCGCTCCCGCTCGGCTATTTATTAACTTCTCGGATATTTTTATAATTCATCCGATAATTCTACAAAGTCCTTCGACCATCCCAGCTCAGCTCCAACAAACATAACCGTCCTGTCCGAATCCCGACCAAAGGCCCGAGAAACACGGTTTGTCCGAAGCTTCCTTGTCCAATCCCATTTTCACTCGGACATACTTACCTCAGCTCCCTTCTAGCTCGGACTTCAGTAAACTGACCTGTCGGAAATCCGACCAACTATCCGAAATTCGCGGACTGACGGATTCTCACTTGTCCGAACCATTCTTTCCCGGCTAAACACTCGAATCAGCTGAATTGGCCCGTTCCAGCTTGTTTTAGCTCGGCTATACCTCTTTCCAACCGATAGCCCAATCTTTACTCGGACAACCCCCTGATTTTTCATATTCATGGCCTTAATCCGACTGATTCAGTTTGATCCAAGGATCACGGATGTTACACTAAGCCTTTGAAATATATTCTTGAGGTCAATAACTTGTTCAAGACGCTTAGAATCGACTTCATAAATTGCAGAACAAACAGTTAGAATCGACTTCATAAATCACAGAACAAACAGTCACTTCCATATTCCACCTGAATCTTATCTCATCATCTTTGTAAGAAAAATATATTGTAAATAATATATTTATTCTAATTATGTGGTCTAATGGTTAAATATTTTTTGTTGGAATGATATACATTAAAAATATTTGGTAACCAATTGAATTAGATATTAAGAAATTTAGTTTCTAGTGAATTAAAAAGACAAGTAGTAATGAACATAAGAGGACAGTGTTAAGCTACATGTCAAGGTAAGACTAATAACTTGGACATATGTTTTAAAATATGATAAAAAAAAAGATGTTGCTTATAAATTAATGATACATCTCACTTTAAACATTCATTTCCTTGAATATTTTAGTCTCCAAATTTATGTCACACTTTTCATATTAAGAGTCATTTTTCTTACACTTGTCACTAGTGTCTTCATCTCTATTTTGATAGATGGTTGGGATTGAATCTAAGGCAAAACCTTAACAAAGAATAAAATCTTCTCTCTTCTTATAAATAAATATCTTGAAACACAATATTTAAAAATGTTTATAAGAAAAAGGAGAGATGCCTTAAGCTCCTAATTAAATATCAAGTTTCCATCTTTTATTCAGATCCATCCAAGAAAATTTCTCCACTAGATTGAATGGAGGTACTCTTACTAACCTGATTCTATTATCTCGTATCAATTTCAGAGAAGATGGTTGAATTTAGATGGAGGTAGTCGGATTTCATCGAAAGTTTGGCACTGGCGAAAATCTCCAACTCGCTCAAAAACACATGTTGTTTTAAACCCAATGTTATTTTACTCTAGACACTAGGTATATAATTCGCGCTACGCGCGAATCTGTATTAATTTTTTGGTTTATTTTTTTTAGCTACTATCTTTAAAATTATTAAAAATTATTAAAAATTATAGAAATTTATAGAAATTTTTATTTATATAAGAGCATTTAATATATAATATGTAATAGACCCCAACCACATTTCATACATCTTTCTATCTTAAAACTTTAGTCGATCAATATATCATACTGTATGTAATTTATTTATCTTCACATTTCAATTTGTGTAATTATTGATAACATGAGTTACCATTGATTTTGTTTGCATTAATAGCCTAGCTAAAAAATATCACCAGTCATGAGTTTTTTTTTGTTTTTTTTGCATTAAACTTTGAGTTACAATGTATTATAATTGCATTATAAATTTAAGTTAACTCTTTGTAAAATAACTATCTTAACTCAAATTCTTAAATCATCAGAATTTTGATGAATTAGAGTTTGACTTACCTTTTCTCGTTATAATTAATTTTAGTATAAATATACACTAAATGTACATAATTTCTAAATAAAATATGGTATGTTTTACCATTATTTAAAAAATCTTAATTATTCTATTTTATTATTGTAGTACTTTTTCGTAAAAAATATTTGATTATTTATTATATATATATATCTATTTATAAAAGTATTTTTGGAATGCATGTCATTTAATTTATTTCAACATTATGTTATAGATATATATATATATACACATATATATATATAAGTTAACTATTCTTAAATTAGTATTCATTCATTTAATATATTTTATAATTAAATTTACAATAAATATTATTATTGATCATTTAAATTTATATCAATTTTAATAATATATACTATAATTTCTACTGCAAAAAAAGTTACCAATCAAAGTTTTTATAAAAATACTAACCTATATTTATATAGTAAACTCACCATATAAATCTACTGTTGACATTGTCTTTTTACATATATTATTACGGTGTGTTACATGTTGACATTGTCTTTTTACATAATTTAAATTAATATATTAGTGTTTAGAGTCGATTAATTTCTGGTGTTCGATAAAAATAATTACTAATTTTACAGAAACAAAATAAAAAAAGAATTACTTAATTTAAAAAATAAAATAAAAAAATTATAACCTTAACTTAAATTAATAATTGAAATTAAAAATTTGTGTAACGTAATGGTCTATATCTAATAAATTATAGAAGTGTAATTCAGAAACTAGAATTAAAAGATCTTATTTTAGGTGTCGCTTTGTCCACTCATATCTTGACATGTGTTTGTTCTTAACTAAAAAAAAAAGATTTTATTTTAGATACTGATTTTAAAGTTTAGACACTCTTTACAATTTTTTTATTCAGTTATATTATTAAGACCATTGGGGTTGGTCTTAAAACATTCAAGCTCATAATAACGGACGACGCGGGAAATGATAAACAAGATTTGCACGATACACAGATTTGATCGAATACATAATGTTTGACGGATCTTGATTTATTAAAGAAAAATAGTACTCGATCCGTACTGCAGCACGCATAAGTTACAAATATATCTTATTAACCGTCAAAATCTTTCATATGAATACCGCAAGCGACACTTTTAAAAGTCAAGTATTTTGATTATGACGCGTTATTGGCTATCGCGTAGTGCTCATAAATAAACAATATTTGTAGTGTAAGTTAAAAGTCAAATATATTTAGTCCACTATAGCATAATCCGGAAGAAAACAATTCAAGGTGAAGAACAAATTGTACTATTCTTTTCTACATAGCTAACAAATCTAATATTAAACTAATCGTTGTTGTAGAAAACGAAAAAAAGAAAAGAAAATAACACTAATATTTGTTATTTGCGCAGATTAAGATGTCTATAGTCGTACAAATATTTACCGTATATCAGTTTGGCACTTTGTTTTCACCTTCCACAGTACTTTCTCTGAAAGTTATCTTTTTACTTAGATTTGGATAAGATAGTCGGACTAAGAGTTAGAGTATTCTTTGCAAGCTTTGACATTAAATAATTGCTCTCGACAGTCGTCGACAGACATTTAATAATGAATTAATCCACTTTTAAATTCAAGAAAAACATTAAATACAAAAGAAAACTAAACAAACAAACAAAAATCGAATTATGTACGCTGAAGTACTACATACTATTTGAAGTTTTGAACCAATGAGAAGCTTGGATCGCTAAAATGTCCTCTCTATAAATATAGAGACACACACAAGCTTACAAAAATATATCGAAACTCCAAAAATAAACAGCTAAAAAAAGAAATGGAAAAGTTACTCGTAATTTATTTGCTACTAATCTCAGTTTCAGTTGCAACTTCACAGTCCGTGACCGATCCCGAGACTTTCCTCCGATGTATCGTACGAGAGGGATTGAACCCGCCGAGTTTCACCTCCGACGTCACCTACATCCCATCAAACTCCTCTTTCACCGCCGTCCTCCGCCGCCGCATACCCAACCTCCGTTTCGACAAACCCACAACCCCAAAACCCTTCGCCATCGTCACCGCCTCCACGTGGGGACACATTGGCACGGCGCTAGCCTGCGCTCGCGAGCTCCCTGTCCAGGTCAGGATTCGAAGCGGAGGCCACGATTTCGAAGGACTCTCTTACACATCCACCGCTCCGTTCTTCGTCATCGACATGTTCAGTTTCAGATCGGTCAACGTCAATCTCACCGAGGGAACGGCTTGGGTAGATACCGGAGCTACGATCGGAGAGCTTTACTACCGAATCGCCGAGAAGAGCAATGTCCTCGGATTTCCGGCGGGTTTGTGTACCACATTGGGCGTTGGTGGACATTTTAGCGGCGGAGGGTACGGAACGATGATGAGGAAGTTCGGATTGTCTGTGGATAACGTCGTTGGCTCGGCGATCGTCGATTCGAACTCGAATACCTACACCGATCGGGTTTCGATGGGGGAAGACCGTTTCTGGGCTGTTCGAGGAGGTGGAGCCGCGAGCTTCGGCATCGTGCTGGGGTACAAAATCCGACTTGTTCCGGTGCCGGAGAGAGTTACGGTCTTCAGAATCGGAAGAACCGTCGGAGAAGGAGCCATCGATCTTCTAATGAAGTGGCAGAGTTTCGCCCACAGTACGGATCGAGATTTGTTCGTGAGGGTGACGCTGACTTTGGTCAACGGTGCAAAGCCTGGTGAAAAGACGGTTTTAGCTTCCTTTATCGGGATGTATTTAGGCCGGTCGGATAAGACTTTGAACGTGATGAACCGGGATTTCCCGGAGTTAAAGCTCAAGAAAACCGATTGTACCCAGATGAGATGGATCGATTCTGTCCTGTTTTGGGCCGGTTATCCGATCGGTACACCAACATCCGTATTGCTGAACACCACGGTTGCGAACAAGTTGTTCATGAAGCGGAAATCTGACTACGTGAAGAGTTCAATTTCAAGAACCGGTCTCGGTTTAATACTGAAGAAACTGGTGGAGATTGAGAAAGTAGAAATGAATTGGAATCCGTACGGGGGAAGGATGGGTGAGATCCCGAGTTCGAGGACACCGTTCCCACACAGAGCAGGCAATTTGTTCAACATTGAGTATCTCATTGACTGGTCGAAAGCTGGAGATGACGTGGAGAGGGATCATTTGGCACGTGCGAGGGAGATATACAGATTCATGACTCCGTACGTGTCTAGTAACCCTAGGGAGGCGTTTTTTAATTACCGTGATCTTGACATAGGATCAGGTGCTAATTCCACGTACGAGGAAGGTAAAATCTTTGGGAATAAATACTTTAAAGACAATTACGAAAGATTAGTGGATATTAAATCCACATATGATGAGATAAACTTTTGGAGGAACGAACAAAGTATCCCCGTTCGAAAGTAATAAGAACGACATCATCCGCAATTTCGTTGTGATTATGTGACTTGTGACATCATGTATTTAGTTTTTCAGCAATAAAGCAAGAAATATGTATTAAGATTTATCGTTGTGACATGTATTAAGATCTTTGGTTTGAGGATGAATACAAGTGCTTTACTTTTGTCCATTGCTAATGAGAGTTCCATCATATGATAAATATTATGGGATTGTTTCATTTATTCCTTTGCATTCCTTTAAAATATAATTATTAAATTCCTTTGCATTATTTTGAAATCTAGAAAAAGTAACACAAAAATTAAAAGAATTAAGACAAATACATTAAAATTCCCATCAAATCATTTAAAATACTTTAAAGTCTATTAATTAATATCTCCAATTGAATTCCTTCAGATTCAATTAAATTCTTGAATCCAATACCACCCCCTAAGTATCAACTGAACTGATTCTGAATGGAAAGTTCATAATTCATCATCATATTAAGAGTAAGACACACGTATCTGTTGTGTGTTACTTACTATTGCATGCGCACTTTTGGTTTTTGTTGTCATTGTAGTTCGATGAATTCATTATACCTTTCTTGATATCCTACCATTTTTGTCTTTTCAAAATTATGTGTTTCTTTTGCGAGAAAAATGCTATTATCAGGATTTGGACAATTCCTATTAATTATAATTGATACCTTCGTCAATATTTGCCGGATAGAAAGTTTTAGTCACCATAATAAAAGTTGGCAATATTTGACCGAGAATTCAAAGTAGCACTTTCGCAGAGTTATATAAATCCCAAAAGAAAAAAATCCAAAGTGAAAAAGAAAGAAATGGATACAACGCATCTCATTTTTCTTCTCTTCTTTGCTGCATCGTACTCATTATCATCGGGATCTGCAGATTCCGTGAATGTCTACGAAGATTTTGTCCGATGTTTCAAAAACAAGACAGGCATCCCCGATAAGGAGCTAACCGACGTCGTTTTGTCCCGTACTAGCGTTTCCTTCTCCCCTGTTCTACGCGCATACATCAGAAATGCGCGTTTCAACACCTCCTCAACGCCGAAACCGTCGGTCATCGTCGTGCCACGTGTGGATTCCCACGTTCAAGCCGCCGTGATCTGCTCAAAAACGCAGAACCTCCAGATGAAGATCCGGAGCGGCGGCCACGACTACGACGGCCTCTCCTACGTCTCCACGGTAACGTTCCTCGTTCTCGATCTCTCTAATTTCCGGAACATCACCGTCGATTTGAAAGACGACGGAGGATCCGCGTGGGTACAATCCGGCGCGACGCTCGGCGAGCTTTACTACCGGATCTGGGAGAAGAGCGCGCTACATGCTTTCCCCGCCGGACTCTGTTCTACCGTCGGCGTCGGAGGACACGTAAGCGGCGGAGGATACGGACACATGCTTCGGAAATTCGGACTCACGATAGATCACGTCGTAGACGCCACGATCGTCGACGCTAACGGCAGAATTCTCGATCGGAAATCGATGGGGGAGGATCTCTTCTGGGCGATTAGAGGCGGTGGCGGCGGAAGCTTCGGCGTCGTTTTGGCTTTCAAAGTGAAACTCGTGGAGGTTCCAAAAACCGTAACCGTCTTCCGTATAGATAAATCAGCGGACCAAAATGCCCTCGACATGGTCCACAAATGGCAATTCGTGGCTCCACGAACCGACCCGGGTCTATTCATGAGAGTTTTGTTATCCTCTGCGACGAAGAACAATACGCTTACGGTGAAAGCTAAGCTACGAGCTTTGTACTTGGGAAAAGCCGACGACGTCGTTTCAATGATGGCGAAGGAGTTTCCGGAACTGGGCTTGAAGAAAGAGGACTGTAAAGAGATGACGTGGATCCAATCACTCTTGTGGTGGCTGAACCACGTAGACGTGGACAAAGTCAAACCGGAAATTCTACTCGAGAGAGAACCCGATTCGGCTAAGTTTCTCAAGAGGAAATCGGATTACGTGGAGAAGGAGATGACCAAACCAGAACTAAACCGGTTGTTTAAGAAACTGGCGACATTAAACAGAACCGGTTTGGTTTTGAACCCGTACGGAGGGAACCTAAACGCGACCGCAGCTAACGCAACGGCATTTCCGCATAGGCACAAGCTATACAAAATCCAACACTCCGTGACATGGACCGATGCTGGACCGGAAGCGGATAGGCTTTACGTTGGTAATCTAAGAACGACCTATAGAATCATGACCCGGTTCGTGTCTAAAAACCCAAGGAGCTCGTATTTGAACTACAGGGATGTCGATATCGGGGTTAATGATCACGGAGCGGATAGTTATCGAAAGGGTGAAATCTACGGGAGGAAGTATTTTGGCGATAATTTTGACCGGTTGGTCCGGGTGAAAACCGCTGTCGACCCGGATAATTTCTTTAGGAATGAGCAGAGTATACCAACATTACCTCCTAAGAGAATATAATCAACTTTTGGTTCATGTTCTCTCTAGTGTTTTTCTTCATGAAACTTGGAATAGTTTTTAATAGTTTTTTGCCAAACGGTAATTATAAATGACTAACCGGTCCAAACGAAACAAATATTAATGAATACAATAAATAACAAAATATGTCTCCATGAATCAGCAAAACAAATCATTTCTGCTTCAAGACTAATCAGATAACTCCAAGGTTAAAGAGGTTACTTATCCACCTCTTGAACAGAATTGAGCTCTCCTCTGGTTTATACTCTAACGTGTGCCCACCTCCCTATATAAACCAAACCCATTAAATAAATTTAAGAAATACGATGTAAAATGTGTCTACCTTCTTATAGTCTTCAACGAGTTTCAAGCATTCTGTGTTAAGAGGATCCACAATTAAATAACTTCCTCCACAGCTTCTCTTCATCGACTACAAAAGTAAGAGTTTTGAAATGGTTCGTTAACCACTCCATTGTGGTGACAAGAGACAAACGTATGTACTAAGTTTTGTAAGTGTTACATCATAGAGTTCATCAGAGATAAGTGCCATTCCATGAGCAAATGGAATGCGAGTGTTATAATCAAGATCACAGCCTGTTGCTGGATTTCCGAGCACATATCCCTATTTTTGGAAACCGTAGAGAAAGGGAGAAACAAAACTCTTCAATTCTTAATGCTTGATATGGTAAAATATAAATAACGTACGAAGCAAGCAAATACTAATGAACCTGAGGATTTATTTGAGGTTTGCAGCATATATAATTTCCTGTGATAAATTGGTAAAAGTAAACCAATCAAGAAACAATAGTCAAAGAAAATGGCTTGGATAGGGGATTGAAGTTAAAAAAAAGAAGACTTACCATTTGAGATTTCTTGAACGATGGCCGGAATCACCTAACCGGAGTAAGAGTTTCCGGTGACATAGAAAGGATTTGAGAAATACTCAGGATGCTTGGCTAGCCACTGCACAACAATCAACAACATTAACAATAAAAAAAAAAAGAGAAACATTAACAAAATCTCCAAAGAGTCTATGCCTAAAGACATAAGATACTTTCCCTTAGCCTTACGAAGAAACTCGTCGAAACGTTTAACTGATCCAGTGTCACTTGGTATATCAGCAAGTGGATTTCTTGAGTAGGAGAAGCCAGTCCCAACAGGCTGGTCCAAATAGATTATATTCGCCACTTGAAAAGAAGCAATCATTCTAAACCTGAAGATGAAGAAAGTTATCTTTCTGAAATTAAAAGAGTGTTTTCCATCATGTACACTCTCTATGTATTACAAGTATAAACTAGTAACAAACCAACTAAACCGGACATGTAATCCTAATATTTACCTTAGTCCATGAATATGTAGTAGAGACAAAGGGATACTTCCATTGTAGGCCTCAACCTTGAAAGCAAGAGGCCCTGATGATTTTTTTTTTCAATTTCAAACAAGTCACTGAATATTCTGAAGAGTAAAAAATAAGAATGATTTTAAAAATAAAAATTTTAGATTCACCATTCTCATAAACGAGGCCAGAGAAAGAAGAGGATCTTCTTTTGGATTGCTCTCGGATTTGATGAAATAGTAGAACATTTGATCTTCCTCTGCCTCACCAGCACCAATGTACCTGAAATGATTTTAACTCCAATACTCAGAACACACAGATCCATTACATTGCTAACTGTATATGTGGAGAATAAGATGAGTGGAGCGGAAAGAGAACCCGGTTTCAAGTTTAAAAGGGAGAGGACCTTCAAAGCCAGGGAGATATCTGATGATAGAGCTTGAATCAGCATGATGAATTAACAACACAAGCAGAAGTTGCGGAAGCAGGAACCTGAGTATCTAAGAACCCATTTTGTTATAAGTTTTTGAGTGTTAGAACAAAACCATATCTACTATTACAGTAATTATACTCAAAAACAGAGGTGTTGACCCCAAAAAGAAAAACTGATAAGCTTTTCGGCTGAGTATCGGTTTAACCATATAAGCCGAGTCGGTAGGGGTTTTAGGATTTTTTTTCTCCTTCAAAAAAATTTGAGCACGTGAGAATGCACGTGGAAGGGACATAGTTGCGTGTAAAGTGCCCGTTGGAGCCAGTCCAAGATAAATTACATTTTCAACTATTTAGCATTGCCTAAAACACCGGACCGGATCCACCTTTCGAATTGGTTCATCTTGCTGAATCAACACAAGTGGGAATAGGCAGCCACCACTCACCAGCAGCAGCAACATTGTGTGTTTTTTTTTTTTTTTTTTTGGTTTTAAGCGACATTGTGTGTTCTTTGAGTTTTTGAGTCAATACTGCATTTGGGACGAAACCATCATTATGCTAAACAATAGAAACGTTGACCGATTAGTCTCTAAAACCGATGATGTCTCTAGATAAAGATAATAATTTTTGACATCTGTGCATGAGTTTTTAAATGAGCAAATTACCTTAACACGTAAAATATAACGGGTGCATTATTTATACAACAGTGGAGAAAAGTCACTAGGCCACTAGTGTTATATTAAAGTCTAAAATATACATTGTGAATCTGTGACCAAACGTATACGTATGAGTTTAAAATTGTATCATATGTTCGTTTGGTTTTGAACCCGTCAGGAGGGAATGACCAAACCGGAGCTAAAGAGTTAGTTCATGTGACCATAGTAACTTCTCTCTAGTGTTTCTTCATGAAACTTGGAATAATTTTTAATAATTTTATGCCAAACGTTAATGATATCTAATTGAATAAACAGTCCAAACGAAAACAAAAACATTAATGAAAACAATAAATAACAAAATACTCTCTATGAATCAGCAAAACAAATCATTTCGGCTTCAAGAGATTAATCAGATAATTTCAAGTCTCCAAGATTAAGGTTTCTGTGTTTAAAGAGGTTGGCCACTTATCCACCTCTTGAACAGAATTGAGTTCTCCTCTGGTTTATACTCTAATGTGTGCCCGCCTCCCTATATAAACCAAACCCATTAATAAACCAATTAAGAAATCTGATGTAAAACAAAAAAAAGCTTTGCATTTATTATGTCAATGAAATGTGGATACAAAGAGTTACTTTCACAGTGGCAAATGTCATCTTATTTGCATAAGTCTTGGTGAATCTGCAAATAAAAAAAAAATGTTGATCAGCTAATACAAAAGAACAAGATAAAAGAAACCTAACAAACAAGAAAGAAAATGGTGCATATACCCAGCGACTCGATCTACTACCATCCATGGTCTCCATTTCTCAATAATGGAAAAGTTTAGAGACCTTATCCAGTCTTGAGTTGAAACGAAAGGGATTGTCATATCGTGATCACCACTGTTCACCAAAAACACCAATGCGAGAGAAAAGTTTACAAACAATTCATAGAATGAAGCAAAGCTCTTGTGAAAGAAGTTGTTACATCTTGTGTTTTACCTAAGGATGAGAGACCGATAGCCTTTGATGCTGTTGTTCATATGGTATGGTATGCTACTTTTAATGTCTTTTTTGCACAGCACGTTAAAGTTACATCGTTCCCATTTCCCTGTAGTGCCCTACAATAAAAATATCCTCATATCTAGAGTTTGGTCATCATATTTAACCAATTATCAATGATAATAAACTTTTCTTATATACCTTCACCACATTAAGTGCTCTGCGTACAATCTCGTTATTAGCCCAATATTCGGACAGCAAATACCGATACGTCTGCAACAAGCAACCTTGTCAATATTCTTCTCTAATAGTTTGCTAAGTGGCTAGCTATTTTATAAGGATACCAAGAAGCTTACATAGCAATCAGGAGATGTAGTGTCACAATTTGATTCCAGAACTAGTTCTTCATATATTCTAGACACACACTGCAAAATATAACCATAAAAAATTATAAGTTAGTGATTTTTCATTGAATACGCAATTCCTTGCAACTACATTGTAAAATGTGTGTGTACTTTCTTGTATTCTTCAACAAGTTTCAAGCATTCTGTGTTAATAGGATCCACTTTAAAATAATTTCCTCCACAGCTTCTCTTCAGCGACTACAAAAAGTAAGAATTTTGAAATGGTTCGTTAAGCGCTTTGTAGTGACAAGAGACAAAGGTATACTAGGTTTTGTAAGTGTTATACCTCATAGAGTTCATCAGAGATAAGTGCCATTCCATGAGCAAATGGAATGCGAGTGTTAAAATCAAGATCAATGTCTGTTAAAGGGTTTCCGAGCATATAGCCCTATTTTTGGAAACCGTAGAGAAAGGGAAAACAAAACTATTCAATTCTAAATGCTTGATAAAGATATATTGAAATCATGTAAAAAGCAAGCAAAATACTACCAAACCTGAAGATTTATTTGAGGTTCGCAGCATAAATAGTTTCCTGTGATAAATTGGTAAAGTAACTCTGATCAAGAAAACAATACTCAAAGAAAAACGCTTGCATAGGAAGTTATAAAAGAAAACTTACCATTTGAGATTTCTTGAACGATGGCCGGAATTACCTTACCGGAATAAGAGTTTCCGGTGACATAGAAAGGATTTGAGAAATACTCAGGATGCTTGGCTAGCCACTGCACAACAATCACCAACAACAAGAACAAAATCTATAATAAAACAAAACAAAGAGAAACAATAACAAAATCTCCAAAAGTCTATATGCATAAAGACAAACAATTTGAGGTTTTCCCTTTACCTTACGAAGAAACTCATCGACCCGCTTAGCTGATCCAGTGTCACTTGGTATATCAGCAAGTGGGTTTCTTGAGTAGGAGAAGCCAGTCCCAACGGGCTGGTCCAAATAGATTATATTCGCCACCTGAAAAAAAGGAATCATTCTAAACTTGAAGATGAAGAAAGTTATCTTTCCGACTTTAACAGTGTTTTACATCATGTACACTCTCTATGTACTACAAGTATAAACTAGTAACAAACTAACTAAAACCAACTAAACCGGATATATACATCCCATTAGTTTTACCTTAGTCCATGAATATGTAGTAGAGACCAAAGAAGGGATACTTCCATTGTAGGCCTCAACCTTGAAAGCAAGAGGTCCTGATGATTTTCTTGACAAGTCATTGAATGTTCTGAAGAGACAAATAAGAATGATTTTAAAAATAAATAGTTTTAGATTACCATTCTCATAAACAAGGCCAGAGAAAGAAGAGCAGCCAGGTCCTCCTGTTAACCAGACAAGAAGAGGGTCTTCTTTTGGATTGCTCTCGGATTTGATGAAGTAGTAGAACATTTGATCTTCCTCTGCCTCTCCAACACCAATGTACCTGAAATGATTTTAATTCCAATACTCAGAACACACAGATCCATTACATTGCTAAATATATAAGGAGAATAAGATGGATGAAAAGGATCATAACCCGGTTTCAAGCTCAAAAGGGAGAGGACCTTCAAAGCCAGGGAGATGTTTGATGATAGAGCTTGAATCAGCATGCTGAATCAACAACACAAGCAGAAGTTGCGGAAGCAGCAACCTGAGTATCCAAGAACCCATTTTGTTATAAGTTTTTGAGTGTTAGGACAAACATTATACTCAAAAACAGAGGCGTTGACCCCAAAATAAGAAAAACTGATAGAAGCTTTCCGGTTTAACGAGGATTCTTTTCTCCTTCAATGAAAAAACTTGGGCACGTGAGAATGCACGTGGAAGGGGCATAGTCGCGTGTAAAGTGCGTTGGGAGGCCAGTCCAAGATAAAATACTATTATTTAGCAACACAGTCCCCGGTCGAACCGGTTCACCATGCTGAATCAACACAAGTGGAAAAAGGCAGCCACCACTCACCAGCAGCAGCAACTTGAGCAACACTGTGTGTGTGTGTGTTCTTGAGTTGATGCTACATTTAGGACGAAAACGTCATTATGCTAAACAATAGAAACGTTGACCGGTTAGTCTCTAAACCGATTATGTCTCGGATTTAATCTTCTCCTTCTCTGGATAAAGATAATATTTTATTTGGAAACGTTAACATCTGTGTATGAGTTTTAAAAATGACTTTAACAGGTAGAAAATAAAGGGTACATTATTTATACAACACTAGAGAAAACCCCACTTGGCCACTAGTCTTAAAATCAAACTTTAAATTTTACATTGTGAATCTGTGATCAAACGTATGAGTTGAAGTTACAACTGTATCATTTGTTCGTTTTAATTTGCTTCATAATTTCACATATCGGAAAACCGAAACAAAATTAAATTGAACCACACATGGATATAAAACCGGAACACTGATCAAATTACAAAAAGAAATACATTTCAGTAATTATACACATCACACTCTTAAGCTATAGAACAAATACAATGAAAACCAGATTATAAAAAAGCGCCATATGATGTATAAGTTCTATTCAATTCCTGTTTGTACCGTGCAATACAAGGAAAAGAGCAATCCAGATAAAGACAATCTTCGTAATGGAGACTTCTAGCTTCGAATTTCCATTCAGAAAGGGAACACCGTTTCCCGAGAGACCGTTCTGGTTGAGTCGATTGCCAAATGGCTGATTGAGAGCAGAGTTAGACGAAGAAGAAGAAGAAGAAATTGGTTGGTTGAATCCAGTTGATGATGGCTGATTAAATCCGGTTAATGGTTGATTTAACCCGGTTGAAGGCTGGTTTACAGAAGACGATGGTTGATTTAACCCGGTAAAAGGCTGGTTTACAGAAGAAGATGGTTGACCAAGAATCGGTTGGTTGAGTCCAGTTGATGATGGCTGATTAAATCCGGTCAATGGTTGATTTAATCCGGTTAAAGGCTGGTTTGCAGAAGAAGAAAAAGATGGCTGACCAAGAATTGGTTGGTTCTGATTCTCAATCGGAAAGCCTTGTGGTTTTGTTGGTGAATTGATGCCTTCTCCTGTTGGTTCTAATGGTGTGGCCAATTGGGTTTGTGGAGCAGCCTCTGAAGATGATGAAACCATAAGGCATAGAAGAATGATTGTGAGCATCCTCTTTTGGATTTTGGCGAACTTCATATCTATCTTTTGAGGTTTTTCACTTTCCGGTTTACTAAACATCAGATCTTATAGACCGACAAAACTGGAGGAGTTGTTAGCTTTCATCAAGGTTGTCTGAGGAGTTGATGGAGAGAAAAAGAAAGCAGTTTACCTGAAACACAAATCCAACTAAACCAACCAAATACAGTAGTGTCTTTGTTTTGTTTCAACTATTACATTACTGTGTTATATGCTTATGCTGTGTTATATACAAAAAAATGACAGTATATAAGTACAGAAGATTGGATCAAAAACCGGTTCTAAAGCCATCAAAGGACATCCAAAATTACGCCTGTCGGAAAGCGAAATCCAAACCATCGAGTATATCCAAATCACTAGAAGAGTTCTCACCAGAAAGATCGACTTTTGGAGAGTTCCCTGTACTTCTGCTTAATGCCCAGATCTTGATTCCTTTCTTGTTCTTCTTCAAGCCGACGAACTCTTGACTCTTGCTTAGATTAGGACCAAACCTTATGCTTTCGACGCTGTCCAACAACAACCTGTCTTCTAAAGAAAGTTGGTTTTTATAGGTGAAGTCAGGGGAGAGAGCTAGTTGCGTGTTGGAGATGGTTTTGTCGCTGGTTTGAGAGTCATGGTTGGTTTCCGGAAGCTTAGCGCCGTAAACTCGTTTCTTTGATGACTTCATTAGTCGATGAAGCCACACAACGAGTTCAAGTACATATGAATCAACTTTTGGTTTATCCGCGTGATGAAGCGTCTGAAGTCGTGTTGGATTCCCGTTGTTCTCGCCTTTTCCTTTCCCAAACTCTATCCTGTTTTCCACACATTCCATTTCCGAGTTTTACAAATCAGATTCAAGATTCAAGATTCAAAATTTTAGTTGTTAAAGAGAGAGAGAGAGAGAGAGACTTACCTTGAATTCGCCCACTCGCCTACCCATCCGAAGCCTTGATGTGCCCTGCGGGGGGATTCGATAAAAGATATGACAAAGACGCACAAGGAGGAGGGAACATGTTGAACCAAGAATGGTTGGTGAAGGAAAGCTTACTTGGTGGTGTTTGTGGCGAATGGGACAAGCCATTGAAGCGACTTCTCCATTTCAGCTTTGATCTCAGATATTGAAAGCTGCAGCAACACACATGTTAGGTAAATAGAAGAATAAGAAAGAATCAGAACCAAACAATGCATGATGAGTGACAACATAACAGAGAAACAGAGAGACAAACCTCTTCTTCAGGGTCAAGAGTTTGTAGCCGAGGACGAAGCGCTGTCTTGACAGTAACAGGTAATGCATTGTACAGCGTGTCCCTCACATTAGAAGGAAGTGATGAAGGTCGAGACGCCTAGAAATTTCAAGCATCAGTTTCCAACCAAAGAATACAAATCTCTTATTAATATTAGAACAAGACTGGATGGGAATCTGGAAGCTTACAATACTGTCGATTTGTTGGATTAGATTAGCGTAGTGTAAAGAAAGACCAGCTTCACCTAATCGTTCTCCTCCCTGCTTCCCTCCATTTTCTTGTAGACCTATTGTTGGTTAAGACCATGCTAGTTGAGATTTGGAATTCCAGATATATGGTCATTATCAGAGGACCAGAAGTACAAAGAAACATTACCATTGTTGCCAAAAACTTCCACAATCGTTTGACGTATATAGCAAACCACATCTACAAGCTTCTCAATTATCTGCAACACAAGAAAATATTAAATTAACTCGCATATTTATACCACACTATAAGGCACAAAAAATTCAATAATCACTAGCCTCTCCTAGATTCCGGGACCAGAGCGACTTCTTCTGTAAGCTCCTCACGAGTTTCCTCTGTTGTTTTAGTTCACTTTGTAAGATAATGATACTCTCTCCTACATGTAGGAAAAGAAAATGAATTCGGGAGTCCTGAAAAAGAGTCAGGGCTAATCAAAGAAATAGCGAGACCAACCTCTCCGAGGAAGGTTTAAAGACTCTACTTCTGCGAGCTTTCTCCTGTAATCTTGTTCAAACCTATCCAAAGCTTGCAACTCGTGATACAATTCCTGATAAAGCAAATGCAATTTAATTTCATATACCCAGAAAAAAAAGGCAGGTCATTGCAACTCCAACATGGAATGGTAATAGGTTATGTAAGAGGTTTGAAGTGAAGAAAAACAAAACTTACTGAAGTGAACCGGGCAAGAGTGACAAGCTCTAGCATGCTTGCCTCTGCTTCATCTTTGGGAAGTTGATGCTGTGAGTTCTCTGCGTCAAGCCTGAAACGTTATAGACCGTTGTACAATGAAAATCCACTGGCATAAAATAAAAATTGCATTAAGGACTTGCTCGATTGCAAAATTAAACTTACTTTGTAAAATACCGATCGAGATTGTGCCACTGTAAATCTTTACACATATTCCCAAACCTGATCACCTCTCCAGAGAAAATATCAAGTTCCTCCCTACCAAAAAAAAAACGAATAATGAATAAAGAACCAAAAAAAGAACCTAATACAAAACAAATGCGGATAAACTAAAAAAAGCAAACCTTTTGTCAGAAGCGGCGAGAATTTGCAACTCTTTGGTGTCCGTAGAGACCAGCTTCTTAACTCCCTTGGAACGCAACATATCCTTCTTCATGAGCTTGAGATTCTCTTCAGAAAGAGATTGCAGCAAAGCAGCACCTTTCGCTATAGTGTTGGCCACTTCGAAGGCATGGATCGTGACTTTGACACCACGGGACGATGTAACACCCGTGTGAAACCCGTTGCCCGGATTCATACCAGACATGCTGCTCCCAAGCGTGTCTAGAACTTCAACCGCCTTCTCTAGCCCCATAACTCCAGCTCTTCCCAGAAACGAGTTCCTCTGCATAATCTATGTGGAAACCAAAGTTTCATCAATACAAGATAAAAAATCTTTATATTCAGGCATGTTACATATCTGTTCATAGAGAAAAAGAAAAAGGAACCTTGGTAGATTCTGTTCTTAATGGAGGCATCGGGCCGAGTTCACCGGAAAAGTTGAAGAAATTCTCATCAGGCTTGGAGTTTTTCCGCCTTGAGCTTGAGATTCCGTAGTTGTCTGAATAATACGAATCAGAGGTTTTTCTTCTTCTCATGGACTTGAGTTTCCCAGAGAAGCCTCTTGACTTATCATCATCGGTGGATCTCAGCTTCTTATCATCATCTTTGAAACCACAAGAGCAAACACCTCCCATTTTGTCTTCTGCAACAAGTAATCAAATCAATCTCTCAGAGGGGAGAAGACGCAAACTCTTTGAGGAGACAAAACACAACTGTATTGAAATCGAAATCAACAGGAGGGCCAAAAATAACCCAATTAAAAAACAAAAAAAAACCTTGAGAGAAATCAAGAATTGCAACTATGGTGGGGACAAAGGGGAAGACTTGGTAAATAGGAGAAGGAATTGAAAGTTAATGAAAATGGAGAAAAAGTCAGAACTCAGCAAAGAGATTTTATTAATACCATTCACAAGCTAAGAGGAAGCACCGTGGAATCAATGGCTCCTCATTTGTTTTTGTTGACTTATCATTTTCTAGAGAAGTCAGAGACACGACTATTCTCACTTTCTTTTGGCATTTTTTAAAAAATTTGTTTGTTTATCGAAAGCGAAGAAGAAGAAAATCTCGCCGGCCATTGGAGAATGACATGCTTTAGTTAGGTTAATATATTTTGAAATTTGCGGAAGAATAATCCAATTCCATTGATTTCAAGCATAATCAACACCTGATTTCAACGCCAGTCACAGTATATACTGAGGAAGAAGAGAAGGCAATGGTTACTTACTATGACGCCGCCGGAAAGGAGGTTGTAAAAAGGAGGCGGATCCAGGCGCCGGAAACGTAACCACCGCGGCGATCGGGGGGACTGTTGCTGAACTGGGCGTACCGGTTCAGTACTTCGGTTTATTACTTTGAATACCGGAGATGTCTCGGAGAATTCACGGTTTGTTGGAAGTTTCGGCATCGATAGAGAGTTCTCTTTCGATTTTACTGGATTGAAATGTATTGATTTGTGTGATCTTCAACTTGTTTAGTTTGTTGATTTGCTTGAAGAAGATGAAACTCATGAAGATGATGAGCTCGGAGTCGGACCGTCGCAGAGGTGAAATAGTTTGGAAGATCATTGTTTTGAGAGGTGAAATGTTATGGCCCATATTAATGAATATGAATATGGGTCATTATAGGCCCATCAATTTATGGTCATTTTAAGCCTATATGTGATCTAACACCAATATATTTTTGTAAATGACAAATGGAAAATTTTATTTAAGAAAATGACTAACTTATAAGTTGGCTTATCAACGGATACAATAATTTACCGGCAAAAATTTGGGATCAAATGGTATATTCGTAAGTAGATATACTAGTAATAAGTAAAAAACCAACTTGCTAAATAAGTAAATAGTAATATATAACCAAAAATCATCGACCATATATTCTTTACTCGGCAAACTAAAACCTTATATTTATCAAGAAATAATCAACTCGCGATACAAATAATCGATCAAATGGTTATACCAAAATATAAAGAAGTTATAACATGTTATACAAAAACAATATATATTACACAACTAGTTAAATGGTATGAGTAAAATCGTTCAAAACTTTGATTTGATCAATTATAACTTTACATAGCATGTTAAAGAGAAAAGTTAAGTCTCAAAAATTAAACTGACATAGGTAAACCATCCAAAAGGGCAAAGAGTACATAAATTATTCCATTTTACTATGAACATAAATTCCATTTCCATTGTAATTTTTTAAATTGGCATCTAATACATATAATTTAACAAAATATTGGCATCTAGTCTACTAGTGCATATATAATTTAACAAAATATGGCATCTAGTACATTTACTATTGTTAAATTATTTACTATTAAAGTATTAAATTTTATACACTGTAAAAAATGTCTATCCACAATAAATGTAAATTTGAAGTTTTTTGGATAGGTCAACGAGAAAACGAAGTTGTTGGGAAGGCGGTAGTTTACATAAATGGTAACTAAGCTATGCCTTTAAGCTCTTCGACCAAAAATTAAGCTCCTGTCTCTCCTTGTCAACATTTCAATTTAAAGCATACCATGCAATATAGTTAGGACATCTATCCTAGATACGATGTATACGAAGAATGACAAACAAAAAAACCAATCCCACCAATATCATTAAGTATTAAATGATGATAAAAAAAAATAAAGTAATTGAATGAAATACACAAAACTCCAATTACAATAAATACATCTGTAAACGTATGTCGTTAAAAAACAGATGGAAGTATAATATTGTAGCTTCTCTGCTCCATGTTGTCTAATAACATTGTCATTTATATAGATGTGGCATTCAAAACGAAAGTAAATTACTAAATTGTGTGCTCGAGAGTGTTAATTACAATTAACCATTGTCTTGGTATTAGAGAAAATTGGTTTCAAATTCTTTAGGTTAAGCTGATGTTTTAAAGTATATTTGTTATCTTTTCTCTATTATGAATTTTTTTGTTTTGGGCAAGATTCTCTATTATGATTAAATCACAAAAAGAAATACTTTAATGATTTTGCTATGAGTCTTTTTTTACTGTAGTGTAAAATTAGATAGACTCTGACTGATAAAGGAACATCAAAAGCGACTGAAAGTACATTTGCTGCTTTTTTTTTTTCATTCAACATGATTATAAGGCATTTGATATGATCATAACAAATCATCAATAAATTTGGATATTCTCGTGTGGGTGCATGTATTAGTATATTTTGTCATGAAGAGATTTTTTAAAAATGTTATCCAAAAGAGATATTTTTAGCCTGATGAGAATAAAATATAGATATACGTGACTACTTGTGTGGGTGCATGTTTGCTGCTTGAGCGTGCGAGTGTACAAATTCTAGTATTTTGCAGCTTTATGGCTTAACTAACATGGCAACTTGGTTAGTTAAATGGTTAATATCTTCAATTATTTTCCAATTTGTTAGACGAGGCAAAACGGAGAAGTAAGTTTAGATGAAAACTCAAAAAAGCTAGAAAATACGTTGATGATTCAAAAGGAATTAGAATATTAACTAATTCATTTTTAATGGTGTACATAGTAAAGTATACATCGAATACTGCTGAATTCTTCTTAATGAATATCTATATTTATGTATCTTTATATTATTGAGCTTGAGATTGGTACGTAAGACATATTATTCAGGGCAATTTCTAGATTTCAGCACAATTATAACATCTGAGAAGTATTGATGTCACAGAAGAAAAACAAATAACTATATGACTACCATCCAAAAATTCAAAATGATAATTGTGAAAATTATGTCAACCAAATGTTTATAGTTCATGTTTGTTTTACTGGTCGACATCTAGTGTTGATTATTAGTTTATTATATACAATTTGGCTCTGAAATATTCGCCTGTCACTTAAGACTTAAGTCGACAGATTAAATTGGAAATGACCCGATCCAACAACCACATCAAATAAAAAGTGGTAACATCTATTTACTTTTGGTATATTGTGGCACGCATTATCTACGAGAACGTGTCTAAGTGGATCATGACATGTTAAGTGTCTCTCGACTGTGGTAAATAATATAATACAAGAAGAAAAGGAACATGTAATCTGGAGTTAAAAATAAAACCCGTACGGAGAATTTTATAAAAACCCATACGGAAGTTTTTATACGAATTTAAGATTTTTGTTGTGTGTATATGTGTTCTTTAATTGTTACATGAAGCAGATTTAAAGATTTGCATGCGAATCATGTGCCGGTGGGTGGAACTAGAAAATTATAGTATAAAATTATGGACTTTTGAGTTTGACGGAAGGTTGTTCGGTGGCTGATTATAGAAAGAACGCCTTGACACCAAACCATCAATCCTAAATTTGTGTGTTTGGTATAATGGTATTGGTATGATTTTAAGGAATCCAAACAAGAAGTTCGTCTAGCGGTAAAAAGTGTATCATAAATCCGTTAATAAATCCGAGTCTTCCCATCTACAAATCCTTACTATAATTAGGTTTTTGTTATTGTATTGGAAACATGTGAAGAATTTCTAAAATAATTGTCAGCATATCATTTTAGACCTATTTAAATTAAATTAGTTGACTTATTTTGTACTTTTGTTTTTGAAATCATTTCCTCAAAATTTTCTTCAACTGCGAAGAAGAATTGTCGGCAGAGTTGTTTTTTCAACAAAAAAGAAATAGTTGGTTGCTTTTTTTAAAAAAATTGTTATCATCCTAATTCCTAAGTCCTAACACGATATTTTCTCTGTCGAAAAAGACCAATTGGAATTTTAGTATGAGTTTCTTACATGTATATTATACAGGTCAGTATTATAAAGGTCAGTAAATGACAAAAAAAGTTACTTAGATAAAGCACCATAGCTAAAAAATAAGAAAATTTGAATTATATTATGAAAATCATCTAGCAAGTCGTTTTAAAGTTTAGCTTTTTAGGTTACGCTCCTTTAACGGAAAAATATTTTGTTTCCAATCACTCGATTTTCCCTCTAGAAACTGCTCATAATATAAAACACCTACTTACAACTTATTAAAATTGAGCATATATAGCTTTAGATCTCGATGACGTTAGACGATCTATATTTGTATTGAAAAATTGTGAGTATTCAAATTAATCAATTTCTGCATAGTGCTTATATGTGATATGTTTATCCCCACGTAGGATCTGATTGTTTCCCTTAATAAAGATCAAATTCGTCACATCAAAAGGCGTTGGGACATAATTAACAAACACTTATGAGTTATGATTGCATTTGCACCCTCGCTCTCTCTCTTTATCTCTCGTCTTTGAAGTGTTATAATTAATATCCTCATTAAAGATCATTTAGCAGCTGATTCTTAAAGTCGAATTCGAAGTCATTCTAATTTTTCTTCAACTACTTCCAACCATTGGTTTCTACTTACACGCATTCTTACCAAAAGCCAAATTTTACATAATACATACGGTTTTCAGTCTTAAGCTGATTTTTAGGTCAAGTGGATTCGCAATTTGGGTAATAATACCACTTGGAGACATGTTTGCTTTTATATACATAAGTGTGATTATGTCAAAATAATAATAATAATAGCAAAATTGGGATTTGGAAGCAAATATGGCCACTATTATTATGTCACTGCATAACTAATCTTTAGACAATATCTTTAGTGTCACTTAGTTGCTTTTAAGCCACTATTGGCCACAAATACAATCAATGACCACTTACCTTACACCAAAGCAATGCAATTCCCACATTAGAAGCCAACAAATATAATAACCAATCCCTCTACTTATACACACATGTTTTGGACAGCAAAAAAGAAAATACGCACATAGTATATTTTTTTGTTTGTTAGATACGTATATTTAGTTTAATGCCATCCCTATATGAGTAAAATTATTCGAGTCAGTAGTCCCTTTCGTAACAACAAAAGTAAAACCGAAATCTACAGGATGTAAACGTAAGGGATTTTTGGGAATCTTTTTAAAGTGAAAGGGAGTTGAGAAAATTAAGGCTTATTGCAGGTTGAATTTATTGACCCCTAAAGTGGCTACGCATTCACAAGCATAGTCAAGCTTAGGGTTTGATGGTTTCAATAATGGATTAAAATATCATTAGTATTACTACACAGCATTTATCAATATAAAACATAACATAAGAAAATCATCAACCATTTTGTCTATTTCTAGAAAAACACAATTTTGTTTTTGGATTGCTAATAAAACATACAAGAAAAATTATTAACTTCATTTGATATTCATATTCATATTCATTCTATATATTTTACATCTTAACATTAAAGAATATTATCAACGTTGTTAAATTTTAGAGAAATTGGCTGTAATAACCACAAGACCAGTTGAAATTAATAGAACTAGGTATTTACTCGCGCTATGCTGCGGGATATTTTTCTAGATTTGTATATATTTTTAATATAATAAAATTATTTATATATTTTAAATGAGTATTATATTTATTTTTATTAGCTTAAGTTATGTATTTATATGTTTTAAATCTGAATAAACATTATATATCATTAATTTTTTTAATTTTTAAAATTATAATCTACTATCAAATTTGTTTAGCTAACTATCTATAAATGTATATGTAAGAATAAAACAATATATTTTTAAGTACCTTCAAGCTAATGGTAGATGTAATTTATTTTCTCTACTAAATTGCTACTTGATCCTCCTTTGAAATTATATAAAGCAAATTGCCATTTAAAAAAAATATTAATTAATATAATTATTTTAAATTATAAAATTTATTTATTTATCAAATATTTATTATAGACATATGTTTCTAAAACTACCAAACTATAATCAATAACATTCATATCAAAATCATTACTATTACTTTAGAACTAAAAAGAAAGTTCTATTTGAACTGTTGAAATATCAATTTAGTTGAAGTTAAATAATTCAATTTTGGTTACTATAAACATATTATAACTTGAAAATTTAGCACAGAGAAATTTTATCTTTTTACAAAAACCGAGAAATTGCATTTTCCGCCAAAACCAAAAAAATTCATTTTCTCGTCAAACCTGAAATTTCATTTTCCTATCAAAACAAAGAAATTGCATTTTCCCTCAAAAACCAAAAAATCACACATTCCCGCGAGAACCTGTGTTTTCCGTCAAAACAGAGAAATCAAGTTTTTTCACCAAAACCAAAAAAATTCATCTTCCTGCAAAAAAACAAAAAAAATAGTATTTTTCCGTCAAAACCAAAAATTTATTTTCCCGAAAAAATTGAGAAATCGTCTATTCCCACCAAAACAAGAAAAAATTATTTTTCTCGTCAAATCAAGAATCACGCCTTCCTACCAAAACCGATAAACTACAATTTTCCGCAAAAACCAAAAATTGCATCATCTCCTGAGGAATTGTGTTTCTCACGAAAATTAAGAAATCATATTTTCCTTCGAAAACTAAAAATCAAATTATATGTCAAAAACTGAAAATTTGCATTTCCCATAAAAACCAAGAAATTGTTTATTTCCGCCAAAATCGAGAAATTTTGCTTTTCTATCAACCCAAGAAATTGCATTTTTTGCCAAAATTGTCAAATTACAATTTTTCACAAAAATCAAGAAATTACATTATCCATCAAAAGCCGAGAAATTGTATTTTCTATCAAAACCGAGAAATCATATTTTCGTCAAAATTGAAAAGTTGCATTTCCCTCGCATTTTCTCATCAAAATCAATTTTTTTATTTCTCACTAAAACCAAAAATTCACATTTTGCCGCCAAACCCGAGAATTTGTTTTTTTCCGCCATAACCGAGAAACTATGTTTTCTTACCAAAACTGAAAATCACATTTTTTTACCAAAACCAAGAAATTCTTTATTTCCGCCAAACTCAAGAAAATTTGTTCTCGGTAACCAGTGGAAATGCGAATCTCCAAGCTGTGGTGGTCTGAGTTTCTCCTCATTTGCTTTCGCCTTCCATTTTTTTTTGTAAACTTTAGGCTTTTTAATGGGTCAGCAAAATAGTAAATTGATTTTATTAGTGTATTAATAATATGTATTATTGTTATGTTTTTATTGGTTCAAATTTTTGCTGATGTGTGAGCTTCTTATAACATAACGCTTTTTGCATTGTTGTTATGGAAGCATAGTTGATGATGAGTCTACACTTTCTTCAATCATATACGTCTCTATCAAGCAAACACATAGTTAGAAATTTTAATTTTTTTTGCTGTTATTTATTATTTGAGTTTCGGTTTGGCAAAAATATAAAACAAAGATTTAATTTTATCATTTGTTGTTATTTATTATTTGGGTTTGTTAAAAAAATAAAAGAAATTTTTTTTATTTGCTGTTATTTATTATTTGGGCTTGGGCTTGACCAAAAAATAAAACTAAAATTAACAATAAAAAATATTTGAGTTTTTAATGGGTTTAAATTTAAAAGTTAAAATAAATTGATGACTTGTATTAATGAAATGTTTTTATTGGTGTTTTTTTTTGCTGAAGTGTCATCTCCTAAAAACTTGAAAATACTGATGTATGAAGCCATGGAGAGACTTACGGGTTATTATTGTGTTGATGACCATATAAAAAGAGGTGCTAAAGTATTCTTTATATTTTATACAATATATATCAAACTACCATTTTCTTCTTTCTCTTCTTCTCTTCTCTTTCCCTTCTCTTCCCTTACCTTCAGGTCTTCTCATCTCTTCTCTTCATCTTCCCCTCCTCTCTCCTCCCTGTCTTCTCCTCTCCCATCCTCTCATCTCCTTTTCATTTGATGACTCATACTATACAAATTATGTGAAATAATTAATTTTATAAATAGTATAGTACGATACAAAAATTGAAATAGTATAATGTGTTAATATAAAACTGATATATAATTAGAATTTTAAGTACTATACTATTTAAGTCTTCTCGTGTAAGAACATATATTATAGTATAGTCTGAAAAAATCATATATTATAGTATAATCTATAAGAAAATATGAGCAACATATGTTTCTAACGTTAAAAATGAGTTTTTAGTAATTTTTACGTGGGCCATGATTAATTTGCATATTATTTGAATAACATAGCTATAATATTATATTGTTTTGTAAATATGATTAGATAGCAAAAAAGTCCTAACTTTTAATGAAACAAAAAAGAAATAACTTAAACCATCTTGTATTCAGATGTTCCTTGTAAGGGGTAGTTAAAAGTAAACGTTCAAATGCAACCTCGATTAGAATTCTTTTATTGTTTATAGAACTCAGTACATTTCTAGCAATACTCTAACGTCTGTTCAGTCAATAATGTAAAGTACAAGCGCGTCAGTAAATTGATTATAAGTGTACTTATTTAGAATCCAAAATGATTATCTTTATTTATGATAATAGCTAAAGAGTATTTGACAATTCTGTATGAGCACTTTTCTAAATACAACACCCCAACATCAACCGGCCGGCTAATAGCTAGTTTGATGCCTAATTATATGTTTAGTTTTTTTTTGAACCTACTATTTATATGTTTAGTTGCTATAAGAAAAATGTTTAATCGAAGTTTTTGAAAATGATTTTTCGATGCAGTATCTAGTTCTATATATTTTTAGAATACTTGCTAACAATACCAATTTCTACTATGCGAAATCAAGCGATGGTGGTCAAATAGCATATTTCGAGTGATAAAGCCTTCTATTCAGATCTTCCACTATTGGTAACTCAATTTAGCCACTCTAAACGTATTAGATGACAAAAAGCTGATATGCTTCCCGATAGTAGATATTAATTTGGATTTTAACTTGACAAAATAACATTCTACTTTTAAAATTTTCGTGTTCTTTAAACTAAAAGTATGGTACAGTAAAACCTCTATAAATTAATAATATTGGAATTCTCAAATTTTATTAATTTATAGAGTTATTAATTAATCAATTAATTTATCGATAAATTAATATTTTATTAATTTATAGAGATATTTTTAGTTTGAATTTTTAATATTTATCAAGAAAACAAAATCAATATTTTCAATAATATAAAATTCATTAAAAAATGTCATAATAATAAATTTAGAAGATAAATCAAACAAATTTTATAAACTTGAAACAACATTATTATCATAGTTTACGATATTATATTATTAATATATATCTAAATATTTAATTATTAATTTATATTATTATTGGAACCATATTTTTACATAAAACTTTCAGAAAAGTATTATTTTATTATCTTATCGAATTTTGTCAATTTTTATACTGACTCGGCTTCGGACTGACAAAAAGTATTAATTTATAGTGATTATTAATTTATCGAGTATTAATTTATAAAAATTATACTGTATATATATCTTGGATTGAAAATCTCGTAGAGGAAAAGTAAAGATGTTAAAACTGTTCAATGTAATATATCACCGAACACAACTCTATAAGATGTATGAATCAAATCTGTTACAAAGTAAATATATCTAAGTTGAGGGTCAAAAGAAGAGATATGGTATATTAAACTATTGTGATTTAAGGATAAATTGAAGAAAATGGATTTAACTTTTGAGCCACAATTACTGGAGATGGTGGTGTCAGTATCTTTGAAATTATGAAGAAATTTGTCCCTACAAAGTTTAAAACCCACAAATTATGACCTACTTTCAAGCACTATTTACATTTCTCCATCAACTTGGGGTCATAATCAATTAGCAATAAGACAAATTATAGATTAACCGATTTCATTTTATTTTCTTTTTGTCGTCATGGAACAAAATGAATGTTTCTGATTCAGTTAGTAACCTGCTCTTGTGGTTGGGCCAAGAAACAGAAAAAAAAAAAAAATACATATAGTCTGAATAAGAAAAATATTCATGATTTTTCTGCAAACTCATAGTTCACAAAGGCATGTAACATTTGATGCATTTAAGAAAGAGGACATTTTACGTATTCTGATACAAATTCATAATTTCATACTCACACATCTAAACTGATTATTAGATAGGCATTCAGTAAATTAGAAAGAAATCATTGTTATTTCTTATATTTTTCCTAATCTTTAATTATTAGATGCATAAATATGCGATCGCGGTAGAATTTACGAATTCTAACATCAATATCTGTTTCAGCCTAAAACGACCTGCCTTAAAATGTCATGATGGAAATGCAAAAGGATAAACTCAAATTCCAAAAAGGCTATAAATTAAACAATAAAATATTAACCCTAATGATTCCAAAATCGTAAAGGACTGACTAAACACTATACACTATACACTATACAAGAGTCAAAAGAGCATGACGTAATTATTACATCAACTTTACGTAGAAAACCATTCCCTCTCCCTATATAAAACCCAACACATACATATGAAACTCCTCAAGCAAACTTAAAACCTCATAAGCAAATAAAACACCAGAAAAGACGTTTGCGGTAATAACAAACGCAAACATGTTTCTCGTAACGCTGCTTTTACTATCACTCTTTTCAATTCCATTGTCTTCTTCCACCATCCAACAAGACTTTGTGATGTGTCTCGTCGACAACTCCGACGCTTCGTTCCCGATGGACTCGTCCTTCTTCACTCACGACCTAAACGCCTCTTCCTTCAAAGTTGCTTTAGAGACGTCTGCTCAGAATCTCCGTTACTTGATGCCGTCGAATCCAAAACCGGAGTTCATTTTCGAGCCGCTTTACGAAACGCACGTTCAAGCCGCGGTTGTTTGTGCCAAGAAGCTGAAGCTTCATTTGCGGTTAAGGAGTGGCGGTCATGACTACGAAGGCCTTTCTTACGTCTCGGAGTTGGAAACGGCGTTTGTGATCGTCGATTTGTCGAAGCTTAGACACATCGACGTCGATGTGGAAAGTAACAGCGCGTGGGTTCACGCAGGTGCCTCCATTGGAGAGGTTTATTACAGGTAATAATAACTCCTACTCCAAGAATCATATACTATGTTAGTTTAATATTTAATTTTAAATAATATTTTTTTCGTCTTAATTTATGATGGGTCCCAAAAAATGTTCTAAAAAACTAATAGCTACAGTAGTTTTAAAATAGAGAATAATTACTTTTTGGGTTAAACAATAAAGAAACTTTGATTTGTGCATATTACAAACAATTATTTATCAAAGAAAAGGTATTTTTCGAAAAACAATATTCGAATTTATTATATATTAAAGCATAAATTGGTTCGTTGGGGGACACCTGATTTCTTCTAGTATGAAATACTATCATTTATTTTTAATTAAAAAAAACCTTTATTTCCCTTTTTTCATGAGTAAAAGTATTTTTACTTACAAAATTACAAAAAACATAATATAGTTGAGCTGTGGTTCTGACCCGGTTATTAATCGGTTTACTTTTACGGTTTAAAGGATCCAAGAGAAAAGCAGGGTCCATGGTTTTCCGGCGGGTTTATGCACAAGCCTAGGCATCGGCGGCCACATAATCGGCGGAGCCTACGGTTCGATGATGCGTAAGTTTGGGCTCGGAGCCGACAACGTCCTCGACGCGAGACTCGTTAACGCCGAAGGCAAAATCTTGAATCGCGCGGCGATGGGAGAAGACGTTTTCTGGGCGATTCGTGGCAGTGGCGGAGGAAGCTTCGGCGTAATCCTTGCCTGGAAAATAAAGCTTGTTCCTGTGCCGGAGATCGTTACGGTGTTCACTGTCACGAGGACGCTGGAGCAAGACGGTACTAGGATTCTGTACAAGTGGCAACAAGTCGCCGATAAGCTTGACGAAGATCTCTTTATCCGCGCCATTATTCAGCCGGCGAGCAAAACCCCTAAGAGCAAAGAGAGAACTATCGCGATTTCATACCAAGGCCAATTTCTCGGCGATGCAAATCGGTTGTTGCAGGTAATGAGTTCAAATTCGAATATATATTTACAATTATGAGTCTGTATTTTCCAATTTGTTTAAAATGTGGCAATAAATAACAATATCAAATTCGACTTTCGTTTAATTTATAACAGATTTATATTTTGATTATAACATTTTCAACCTTTTTTTTTGTTGACAGGTGATGCAGAGGAGTTTCCCACAGCTTGGACTAACCAAGAAAGACTGTTTAGAGACAAGCTGGATCAAATCGGTAATGTACATTGCCGGTTTTCCTAGCACCGCGCCATCGGAAGCTCTACTCAACGGGAAATCGTTGTTCAAGAATTACTTCAAAGCCAAGTCAGACTATGTGGAAGAGCCAATTTCAATAAAAGGACTAGAAGGGCTATGGGAAAAGCTTCTAGAAGAGGATTCACCATTGACTATATGGAATCCTTATGGAGGAATGATGGCGAAAATCCCTGAGACAGAGACTCCTTTCCCACATAGGAGTGGGACATTGTTCAAGATCCAATGGCTGACTTTGTGGCAAGATGGAACAGCGAGCGAGACGAGGCATATGGAGTGGATGAGGGAAATGTATAGTTACATGGGGCAGTATGTGTCAAAAAGCCCGAGAGCGGCTTATGTGAACTACAGAGATCTTGATTTGGGGATAAATGGTAAAGGGAGTGATGCAAGAGAATGGGGGAATAAGTACTTTAAGGGAAATTTTGAGAGGTTGGTGAACATTAAAGCTAAGTTTGATCCTGATAATTTTTTTAGACATGAACAAAGTATTCCTACAGAACTTTGAGTGAAATTTTGAGTTAAACAATAATAAGTGTGTGTGGTGTCTTAGGAAGGACTTTTGTTACTTGTGTTTTTTTGTGTGTGTCTTTTTGTTTTTAAAGCATGATCAATATACACTTGTAATTCTAAATGGTAATCCAATCTAGTTCCATATGAGAGTTATTCATCTTGCTTGGAAAACTATAACTTCGATGATCCTGAAACTGATTTTCACAGCGGCTCAAGACTACTTCTGCACAAAACCTAACATTTTAAAAATGGATCGTTGTGCCAAAAATTGGATACGAATTCTTGTCTAGGTTTACATATGCGTGTGCATCAACCCGGGAGGTACCTAAAGATCATGTTCAAACTCGTCTGCTCACGATAAGCAATATACATATGCATGTTAAATCAAACTCAACGTAGATGAACGCAAATTATTCCGCCGTTTCACTCGAGTAAGACAACACGTGAATTGATGTATTTTGCCAGTGGCGCTTCCCGGTCTGTCTTCTACCGTTGACCTTGTCGGTAAGGTGGAGGGGTTGGCCTTGCTCCCTGTTCTTTTTGGCTTCTATCTAGGCGCTCTTGGTTGTATTCGACTTTGCCTGCATCCGGAATTTTTAGGATCTATAGATCCGATCTTGCCGAGTTATGAAGCGTTAGTTACTTGTTGATGAAAAGGTGGTCTCTCATCTTCTCGGGAGGAGGTAGTTGTTATCGTTTGGTCTGCTATGTGCAGCAATGATACTCTCGTGTTCTGTGTCCCCATGAGGTTTAGAAGATTTGCAGATCTGAGTTTGTCACAACTCTGGAGTTTGAAATCGGGTTCTCTTTTTAGTTTTGCTATTTCTTCTGCATTAGATCTTGTTTTTCAATTGTATTAGTTTGGTATTTCATAATCGTATCTTATTTTCGAATCTGAGTCAGTTTTCCATCATGTATCCATCTCTGTATTAGATCTGGTATCCTTCCTATGTATTCCTCCTTAGTTTGTATAATAAAAATTCAGATGACAAAAAAAGGTAGAAAAATAACAACAATTTGTTCAGTAAAGGTTACTAAATTATGTCAGTTTTCTATTATTCGAATTAACTTATGCATCGGGTTCTGGCAGGTTCAGTGCCGCGTTAGAATAGTTTATTGTCAATTTTGTCACACACTATGGAAGAGTACGGATCTAACCGAGGTGAAAGAGTGGTAGGCTTTTGGAGAAACAATTAGATGTGTCCTACCCCAGCTCGGACGTGCATCTCGAGAGAGTACACGCTTATCCAGAATATGAGAAAGTTATGCTTTCAGAGAAATAGTCGATTGCCCGCGAAGGAATTTCTCTTTGGAGAAATTTTAGTCCTTGCTTCGTGAGGCACTAGGCAATGAGCTGTCTTCCTTCTCCATTGATTTTACGAGTAAGTTAGAGCCTTATGTGACTATGAGATCGACACAAGACAACAACGCGGTTTAAGGCACTTGCCCAAGAACCAGAATCTCTTCTGTATATGTGACAGGTACATGACAATCACCTAGTGAGTGTTAAATGGGGCTGTTTCTAGGCGAATGAAGTTTGAGGCTATACTCTCCATGTTCACTCACGATAAAACAAGAAAAGTTCAAGGCCACAATGAACACAATAGAGAACCTAACTCTTCAAGAAGACGAAGCTGGGTTATATATGTTGTCTAGTTTTACATAAAAAAACCTGGGCAGTTCAAGACATCAAGTTCACCTCCTAGCTGAGTAATTCCGGCACATATCAACAATGAATGGTTCAAGGCTGAGAAACTACTATTTCAGATACAATTAGTCTTCATTATACTCTCGAAAAGCCTCTCTAGTCTAGTCAAGACAGTGTCTGGTCTAAGTTAAGTTTTTTATAGTTTATCAAGTTTGCAACTTCATATGTTTAAATTTTATTTTATTCATGTGGGGGATTGTTGGAACAAAAATTAATAAAGACATTGTTGGGCTTTATTAATTTGTGTATGTGAATAAAGAATGTGTTTTAGCCCATATAAATGAAATATTTTCATTGGCTATAACTCTTTGTGGGAAGCTAACAAAGTTAACAAAGTCCCACATTGGAAACTTGAAGTATTTTCAAGTGGTATCAACCTTATATATACAAGTCATAAGTCTCTCCTTTTGAATTTATCATCCAAAAATCCTGAATAGGAGATCAAATACACAGAGCAAAAACAAGCACACTGTTCATTCGATCTCCCATTGCGTCATGTTAGTAATTTTGAGAGTATTTGTAGAGTTAATTTCGATGGAGAAGCTTGATGATGAAGTAACCAATGTATCTGATTTCACATACACGTTTTTATATCTCTTACTTCCAAAAGCTCTTCCTTGCATTGATAGTAAGAAACAACACGAAATTATAAGACTCTGATTCCACAAAGACTTAGAACTCGCATGAACAAAGTTATTTTCAAAGAGATTCTCTTTAGAAAGCAACAAAAGGGATTTTTCTTGATTGATAAAAATTGTGTTGTGAAATATAAAGGGAATGAGTTTATATAATGCTCAAATAATAAGACTTGCAACATTCTAAAACATTAAAAAGAATTCAAAGAATCTGGCTTTAGTGAAGAGATTTCTTATCATCTAGCCGTTGGGCTTCATTGGAGGGAGGACTTGATTTATGGGGCGAATCCTTGAGTCTTTAGTATGGAATGAATGTTCAGGATCTTGTAACATGAATGGAGGATATAGATTAAGTAGAAATGATGGTCGTTGGTCTTCATTTCTGGTTTGGCATAAATGATTATGTCTAAATAAGGCAAGTGGCTTCAAAACCAAATCTTCTTTAATTTGGGGTCTTTTGACTTGGTTATTGGCATGTCTGACGGTAGATGCTTAGTACATGTTCTACACATTAAATTTTAAGAGAAAAGTATGCAAAAATCATAAAAGAATCAAAAAGAGAGTTTTAAGGGATTTTGAGCCATTTGATGGATGATGAAAAATGGCTGAATGAAGGGGATTTTCTGACTTTATATCTGGATATCTTGATGATGGGTGCAAGAAATAATAGTCTCCTGTCCTGTTTAGTGCCTCCAAAATGGAGTAACAAAGAGAAGCTAGCCATTGGTCATTGATGGCACCAAATGTGAATGCATCCATATATGGTAAGTAGAAGTGTGAAAGGATACGCCTGATCGTGTGGGTGCTGGTGCATGGAAATATGTTTCCTGACTCTCCTGGACGGTTATATATGTCTCCTGAATGCTTAGATGTCTCTCCTGGTCACCAAAGTCTGTTTGTAAATGTTTAAACCCGTGAGCTTCTAAATAAGGCAAATTGAATAACTATTAAAATGAATTTTGGCATGAATCCAATTCGCCTCGGTTCTATGATGAGTTAAGTTTCCAACATCTGGTTTTGTTGCTTGATTCGTCGTGGTTTGGCTGGAATGATTTGATTAGTAATTGATGTCTCCAGCGGATCTATTAAAGATCTGCCAATTTGTATCTTCAATAACTTATATCTTTTTCATATGAACTCCTTTTTAGGTGATTCTTTTTTTGGTGAAATCTATGTGAGTTGAGTATGCTCTCTAAGTCCTGGTTGAGTTTTTGGCTAGACCATCATGTACTTTTATCCTCGATATTGCGATAAGTTCGGTTGGTTTGATATTGATATCCTCATTATACTCTCCCTCTTGAAAAAGTTTTTTCCTCAAAGCCATTTTATCTGCACCAAGATAAAGGAAATTAATTTCTTTACAAACCTTTGGGTTTAGAGACTTACCTTGATGTCCTTTTGATTTTTCTGGAAATAGATGCTCCATTAATAAAATTGAAATGTTTCTGGCTTTTGTAAGTTCCAGTGTTGGTCTTGGCTTAAGTATTGTCGATTTTTCTTCCTTGTACATCATGTTTTCAGCCTTGTATACCACGTTTTGGTCTTCTTGTTCATTAAAACCTGCATAAGACTCATTTGGAGAAAACAAGTGTATTATATATGGTGGATCAAATAAGAATGTATCTTATATAGCAGAATAACTTGCTTTTGTCGTAGTGTCTGATTTAGCTCTCACTTGCATAACTCTAATATTATTTTGTGCTAGAGGGGAAATAATAAACTTATAATGGTTAATGGTGAAGAACATTGGTTTTGCCATTGTGAATTACATATCTGTCATATTACCAAATTCTTCCAAGCAAAACATAGCCAGCTTACATTGGTGCAACATTACATAGTTACTGATCTTTGTATTGGTCAAAGTTGAGTGGTATTTTAACTTGTTTAGACACTTTTAGATGAGCTTGTATAGTCTAGGATGTTGTATAGTGGAAAAACCAAGTTTTTCTACTAAAAAAATACTTGCAATATTAGCACAAAACCATTATTAATACATACGTTTTGAAATCTAATCCAATTATAAATATTTGTTAAAATTATTAGACTAAACTTTTAATTGAAAAGGAAATGAAATCAAATTTTGTATAGTACTATCTCATTTTAACATTGGTTGAAAAATAGAAGAAAAAAAAATACATGGAAAGGGACATGTGTTTTTTTATGATTTTGTCTAATCTCCCAATCTTGTGTTAAAAAGTCTTTGTGGTTTTTATTTGTTGTTGCTAAATTTTAATTTTAATTTTACTTTTAGGATTAATGAAAATTATTTAAAATTTAATTAGTATATTTTAATTATAATATGTATTAAACAATTTGGTCAATAAATTTATTACTGTGATTATATTAATTATTTATTTTGAAGTTATTTTTTCCTTAGTCCCCTATCAGACGAGGACGCTTTCATGTCTCTCCTTTCATAAACAAACGGCTGTAGGAAGAGCGTAATTACCTCCCAGTCTTTGAGGGCAAATTTGACGCAGAGAGGGATGATACTCAGAGCTCCTAATAATCAAATAGAATCTAATTTGTATCAAATGATCCGCCAAAGAAGATAAGGAAGAAGAAATAATTATGATACCTTCATCGTTTTGCACAGGAGGAACGTGAGCGTTTTCTTCCGCGTATGGAAGAGGAGGACCATCAGAACCTCCTGATACATATCGGAATGGAAAAACATGTTTATATGGGAGATACAGAAAACAAAATTTGCCAAAAATCAAGGAAATATAATACCTTCCCCGTTTCCTTCCACGTTTTCAAGAGGAGTAGGAGGAGGATCTGATAAATATCAACCTACAAATTATTATTTCAATTACTTACATGCAAAATGAAATCAAATATGTTGTATATGAAACCTTGCCGATGAGTAGATATGTATTATTGTGATGTGTGTTTTAAGATTAAGGATAATTGTGATTTCTAAGTTTCACATAACATATACTAAGTGTTAATTTTTACTATGTGGCTTTATGCAGATTTCCAATTTACAAGGATGTTTTTGAGTTTTATTTGATCCTTAAATTCTGTAGTATAATTACTCAGATTGATATAATTATAAATAATTACAAAACATTGTCATATAATTATTTACATGTACCAAAATCATTACAAATACATACTGTATTTTATAAATAAACAGACTTTCAGTCAGTCCTCATAAATAATATTCAAAAAGTCAATCACTTCTTTTATTATAAATAATATATATATTATTATTAATTAATTTTTATCAAAATTCTCATGTCCGCATATATGTGCAGACCAACCAACTAATTTAATAAAATATAAATAAAACCTATTATAAGTTTATGACCTTATTTAATTAGTTATTATTTAAGTTTTTCATTAAATAATAAACTAGGATCTAACCTTAGTGCCGTGTTTAGGTTCAGTAGGGGTTGAGGCAAATTTAAAAATTATTTTTTAATATAAATTTTTATAGTAAATATAATCTAGTTTTTTTATAACTATATATAATCTAGTTTTAATTTTTAATACAAACTCAAATATAATCTAGGTTCATTATTATTATTTTAAATATCATGTAAGCATTACTATAAATAAATAAATATGTTATTGTAGATAGCTAATAAAAAAATTGAAAACTATTGAATTTATGTTTGTTTCTTTAAACAAAAAAAAATAAAAGAAATATATGTAAAATAATAGAAAAAAAAAATTAATTAACAAAAGAAATAGATTTAAGTTTCAGATTTTTTTTTCCTTATTTGGAAGTTTGATTTTTTTTCTTTCCAAAAACTATATTAAAAGAAAATATCTCAACATAGGTGTCGAGTCTGAGTTTCTATAAGTGATATTTCAACAATTAAACCATTTTGGTACATTGTATTTTTAAAAGTTGGCAGCTTCTAAATTTCATATATGTTCGAACCTGAGGCAAATGCCTTTTTAAATACATAATAGGCACGGCTCTGTCTAACCTGCGCGTCCGCGCAAGTAATTTTTTTTAAATTTAATTTTAGAAAATGTTGAATTTGTAAATACAATTTTAAAATGTGATTTTATGGTTCTACAACATTTGAGTTAAAAAGTTAATCTACAAACAATGCTAAGATGTTATAAAATATGTATATGAAAAAATATATTCAATCTTACGTAAACATATGCTCAATACAACTCTGTATATTAAGCAACACTCTTACATATTAAGCATGTGTTTACATTTGTGCGGAGTAAATATTTGTAAGATTAAAATTTATGTTTTAAATAATATTTTAGATTTTAACTATTAGAGTTTAAAGTTTGAATGGTTAATTGTATATTTTTTGTTAATCGTACTCATATTTTTTAGTAAAAAAAATTATATAATGAAAGTGTGTTTAATATTTAATAAGAAGATAATATATTAATGTTTTTTCTTTGTCTTTATCTTCTTCATTATTATTTTTTTGTTCTTCTTCTTTTTCTTTTTCTAAGTTTTTATTATTGTTCTTCTTCTTTTTCTCTTTTTCATCTTCTTCTTATTTTTCTCCATTTTTCTTTTATGCTTTTCTTCTACGCTATTCTTCTCTATTCAACCTCTTTTCTTACTTTTATTTTTCTATGTTTTTTTTTGTTCCTTTTCTTTTTTCCTATTTTTCTTCCCTGTAACAGGAAAAAATTGATCAAGATATATTAATTTAATTTTCTAGGTATATGAATAGTAATTGAAGAAGTCCAATCGCAGAAAAAGAAACATAATGGATATTGACATACAGCCCGACCTAACATATTTTAGGTCCCTTGGGCAAAATAAAATTTAGAACCTAAAAATATTTTTTTTTTTTGGTATTTTCTATATCTTTTTTGATAAATTTCGAATTAAAAAAAAAGATAATTCTAATTTTTTAAACAAAAATAGACCTTTTAATAAAAAGAAAAACAAAATATTGGACTTCAAATAAGAAGAGTAACAAAAAATTAGGCTTTTAATGATTTAATGAATAGAATATATTTAATAAATTTTTATATATTTAATAAAAATCCAGTGACATATTAGGTAAATACACAGTAACTAAATGTTATTCTTTTAATTGAGATTCTCTTTTAATATAATAGATGTTATAAAAGTAAATTAAGTAAAAAAAACAATAACCTCACCTAAAAACTGAAAACATCTAATATTTTGAAAAATATTTTTCTTAGGAACAGAGCGAGCAAAATTATTGCCACCGGCTTGAAGTTTGTCATATAAAGTTGAAAACTCTTTCCCCAAGGTAGGCTTAGAAATTGAATTCGCACTTTAAACAGAAATACTTTAATCTGAGAAATAAAATAAAAAGAGTTTGATTGACCCATTAAAAAAAACTCATTCACAAACACATCTGAGAAACCCAAAAAAAATAAAGGAAACCACAAATGTGCGAGCATAAATCTTCTCCGAGTCGAATGTAGGGTTTCGCCATGAAACGCAAGGAGAGAGATCGTAACGAGGACGATGAGAGAGACACACCCCCAAGTATCTTAGATTCTCTCCCTCTTGATCTAAAGCTGGCCACGCTGAGTAAATTGCCTGCCAAGTCTCTTACGAAGACGTGGTCTTCCATCATCAGAAGCCGAGAATTCATCGATTCTTACTACGCAATGTCCTCAACAAAAATCACGGTTTATAGTCGCTTGGACTAACGGTGTAGACTCCAAGCCTAAGGACGGAGAAGCTTACCTTCCTCTTCTCGTTTTCACTCGAAGGAGAGGAGGAGTCTTTTTCTGTCTATCTCTTCCTCTTCTCTTTCGCATGCCATTGCAGATGCGATTCCGATCCTTCGTCCTCCTCAAACTGCTCCAAAGGATGCAAAAATCCCCTGTGTTTCGAAATGGTGAGAGAATTTCTGGGTAACATCGAGCTTTGGGTTTTGAGATTATGGAGACCTAGTCGATGATCCAGGGAAGGAAGGCGGTTCGGGTGGCAGACCCGGTTTGCAAACGTCGACGGGATGAATTTCGGTTCATAAGCCGAAAGGAGATGAATCGGAGAGTGTTTCGATTTCTTTCGAACTCAATTCGTTGGGTAATTTCATTACTTATATCTGCATATACTTAGTTGATTTCTCCTCTCTAAACAATACCCAGTTCTGGGGAAAATATATCTAAGCTAGTGTATCTCTCTGGGTTTTCCGAGGTTGAGGATAACAGATACTCCATGAAAATTTTCTTTGAAATCCGAAAGCAAAAGTATCTCGAAGCTCTTAATAAATAAGCTCCGTCTTCTGAGCATTTCAGTCAGTATGTGTCTCTCAGTACGTTTCTTTTCCTTTGAAAAATGTAGGCGTGATCGCGCAAAAGCTGTGGACATTCTAGTTTTCATGAATTTGTTTTTGATATCTACCGAATTAATCATTTAATCACGCTCAAAATTCTGCATGGCTGCTGTATGGTCAGGTTAGGCGAGATGTACAAGGATGGAGGGAAAGATACTATGAGGAAAAATTCACAGCTAAGTCCGTAGAGGAAATGGAACAAATACGCAGAGATGTTGTGAGTTTCCCGTGCATGTATTTTGATGAAAATAAATAATGCTTAAGTCAATCAGAATGCACCAATTTACTGCTTTGCTATTATTGGCTAGGTTTTGAAGTATACAGAAGACCTTTGTTGGATAATGCATTATTATTATCATGGTGTTTGTTCCTGGAATTGGTCAGTTTCTTATCCTCCTCCTACATATAATATACTTTTTCACATTTGATTATTTTCTTTGTGGTGTAATATATATAAGCATGATGATTAGTAGCGGTTGATATTGTCGTTTAGATTGTGATGCTGTATTTATTTACGCATTATGCTACACATTTTAGTAGACTTTGTTACTGAGTTCAAATCCTCTAGAAATTCAGCTGAGATGTTTCAAGATTTTGCGTATGTCTGGTCGGAAAGTGGTTGTTTATTTGATTTTTTCTTCTGTTAATTTTGATTTTATTCCATTTTATGTGTCTAGTTTTACAAGCGAAATGTAGTTCCTTCTAGAGTATAGTAGAAAAGGGATAATTTAGTGAGGAAGGCAAGTTGGAAAAGTAAAATAACTATCGGAAAATTCTTGATAAATGCAGTGAAGGGATGAATGGTTACTTAGCTTCATGTGGTGGAGATAGTCAGACTCCGTGCTTCCCTTCCCCAATCGAAGGCATGTTCAAAAGAATTGCAGATTTACCTCTAACCCTTTAGATAAGCTAATTCAGGACATGTTGTGAAAGTCTTTTCCTGAAACTTTTGTATGATATTAAATTTATGAAATGAAATTTAATGCTTATGAAATGATATTTAAGTTTATGAAATAAAATTTAAATTTCAGTTTAAGTTCATGCCATTGTCTTTCAGTTTAAGTTTCACCATCATCATCATTTAAGTTTAAGTTTCAGTTTAAGTTTATGAATTAATTTTAATTTTTTTTTTAAGACACCCATCAAAAGTATCTTAATTGTGTACTTAAAAACAACAAAATACTAGAAAGTATCTTATATATATAAATTACACAAAATATTAATAATTAATCATTAAGATCCATACTAATGATGTTACCTATTGGGGTTGCTCTAAGACCGTCGAACCTTTTGGTTAACTTAATCCCCTCAAGTGACACGTAGTGTCTTTCTTAAGAAGACTTGCCAGGTATTAGCCTAGAGCAAGCAATTCACGATATCGTTGTATTACAAACCAAACTTAATTATTATTATGTGAAGAGGAGAATTTCACATCTTCACAGAGGGAGCCACACTGTACAAACCGATTCTAACCTTTCTTGGGGGATTCCACCCACAAACGCAAAGTTTATGGCTAACGGATATGGCACATGAAGCATATAAGAATCTACAGTTGCTTAAAGATCCATGAAACTTATGGATCATAAGCAACTAATCCTCACATGAAGTTCACCAAACATAGCAGATATGAGGGAGGCTAATCATGAAAAGAGGAAAATCAAAATTCTTTTGTGACTATATATATAGAGGAGTCCAGGTAGATCAACAATGATAAAAAACGACGATTGGGAGGATAATAGTAGGAATTCAACCCGGGAAGCTTGAAAATCCGAATCCAAATCCGACTCGAAACTAGGTATCCACTATAAAACGTTCTCTTTGCACCAACGAGAGGAGAAGAACACATATAGAGATAACTCCATTTTTTAGCTTTATTTCACTTGAACTCAAAGCCATTAAAAGCTCTATAAAGATCTTTGAGTTGATAGAGCTACACCTCGTATTTTTGCCTATTCTGTCTAGTTGTGTGTCTCTTGTAACTTGAGTGTCGGAGCATAATTCTTTCCGATCCATCAAAACTCTCTTTCTTCTTTCTCTCACTGCAGGTTGACCCATCCCTCAAAGTTCAAATCTCCCTCACAGATCTGATAGCTTATCAAATCCCTCCACATAGAATTCTGAAATTTGTTCCCAAACACATATAAGTGATTTTGCCTAATCTCTCAATCTCGTGTTAAAATGTCTTTATGGTTTTATTTGTTGAACAGTTTGCTAAAATTTTATTTTTATTTTACTTTTAGGATTAATAAAAAATCATTTAAATTTTAATTAATATATTTTAAATATGTATTAAACAATTTGGTCAATAAATTTATTGCTGTCATTATATTAATTCTTTATTTTGAAGTTTAAATCTTATATAATAAAATATATTACATGTTGAAATTTGATCGAATAACTAAGATTTGTTAAAATGATTGGACTTAACTTGGGGGGGGGGGGGGGGGGGGGGGGGGGATAATAATGATAAAGAATCTCACCTGAAACGAACTGGTGAGCGCAACATACATCTAGCGATGTCTTTGAGATTTTGTCTAATCGCCAATCTTGTTTTAAGAAAAGTCTTTGCGGTTATATCGAATTTTCTCCGAGTCGAATTTAGGGTTTCTTGAATTGAAAAAGGAGAAAAAGAAGAAAAAGGAAAGCAGTTTATAACAATATAGAACATCATCAATATCTAAAATTTAAAGCCACGGACTATAAAGTTTTCATTACTATTGAAAACTTTTTCCCCAAGTATTAATAGGACATCATTTTGTTAATTTTTTTTTTTGAGTAAAGCTTTTTTTATTCGTTTTTCTATTTTAATCCTAAATAATAGAATATGTCTATGTATATTGGAAGTTTTATGGTAATTTAGATAAATTATATTTGCCTTAGGGATTAGATAATGACATCTTTTCATAATTTAATAAATGATCAAATTAAAAAAAACATTTAAAATAGAAAAATTGTTAATGTTATAGATATAGGATAAAAAAAGTTTAAATGAATTGTTTTTTTTATTTATCGGAAAAATTGTTTAAAAAGTTAAATTTAAAAATTTTATCACAATTTTGTACAAAAGTAAAGAAAAAATTATTTTAAACTTAATCTTCAGCCTCCTTTTTTTAATTATTTTTGGTATGTAAAGCGAATTTAATGTTGGCACAGCTCTGGACTTAGATATTGATCAATTCGTAGTTTGAACAGAAGTATCAAGTATGTACCCTAATCTGAAAAAAGGAAACTCCTTTGACGAACATCAGAGAAATCTATCAATGTTCTTGTGCTGAAGACCCAAAAATAAAGGAAACAGCTTCCAATCGTTCTTCTCTGAGTCGAATTTAGGTTTCGCCATGAAACGCAAGAAGCGAGATCATAACAAGGAACATGAGAAAGACAGTACACCCCCAAGTATGTTAGATTCTCTCCATCTTGATCTAAAGCTGGATATACTGAGCTGTTTGCCTGCCAAGTCTCTTACGAAGCTCCGATGTGTGTCGAAGATGTGGTCTTCCATCATCCGAAGCCAAGGATTCATCGATTCCTTCTTCGCAATGTCCTCAACAAAACCGCGGTTTATAGTCGCTTTGACTAACGGTTTTATCCTCCCGCCTGAGGAGAGGCTTACCTTCTTCTACTCGTTTTCACACGAAGGAGAGGAGTCTTCTTCTTTGGTACCAAACTTCGAGATGGTAACACCAACGAGTTTATGTTACTGCTCAGAGTATTTCGCTTCTCTCCATGGCTTTCTCACTGTTGAAACTAATAAAGGGTTGATGCTATGTAACCCTGGCACAGAGCAAGTCATTACGTTACCCAAAGCCGCCACCTTTGTGGGATACGATCCGATCGGTGATCAATACAAAGCATTGGCCGTGGAGGTTAGCGTTCGTAAACCTGCAGCGCACAAGGTGTTAACGTTGGGTGGAGCTCAGGGATGGAGAGACATTGAAGGTCCCCCTGGACCTTATAGGACCACAACATCAGTGGGAATATGCATCAACGGGGTTATCTACTCTGGTGCTCATGAGTACTCAACCCAATCTAACAATCCAGTTATTGTGTGTTTTGATGTTAGATCAGAGAAAATGAGTTTTATCCAAGCACCTGACGATGTCGTGCACTGGGGCTGTAAGTCGATATTGATAGACTACAATGGGAAGCTAGCTTCAATTGCGAGAGACCCTAGGTGTGATCTCCGTCGTTTTGATCTGTGGATACTGGAAGACGTCGAGAAACCGATATGGTCGAAGCATGCATGTGTGTTGCCAAGCTCCATGTGGGCTCCTATTGGGGTGGTGGAATATTCATTTCCAGGTGCCACCAAAGCTGGTGAGATCATAATTCACCCGAATGGTTTGGCAAGAGAGGTTGAACCTTTCTACATTTTCTACTTCAATGTTAAAACACAAAACGTAAGAAGAGTCAGGCTCCTCGGAATTGGAGACAATCAAGAGTTTAGGCGCTCTTATGGATTCGAAGACACGTGTGAATGCTTCGTCCGCATGGTACCTCAAAACGTCGAGAGTATTGCCTTTCTTAAGAATCATACTTGAATGTATGCATACTGTTAAGCCTTCCTTGCCATGGTTTTTTATTTTATTTTACTTTTATTTTCAACACCAAACAAAACGAATTCGTTATCTTGTGACGGATGATTTGCGTTTGCTGAGTTGTATATTCTTTCAGTTTTCAACAAATGTTTTTTATATTGTTGATATTTAATTCTCTTTCACTAGATAATAAATGATATCTTAATTAAGAAAAAAAAAGATTTATTTAATTTAATGTGAAAAATTTAAGAATCTACTGTTGCTTAAAGATCCACAATAAGACCATCTCCATTGCTGGTTTTCTACCAGCGTCTTTTAATTAAAAAAATTAATCATATAATATATAAAAGTTGATGGTATAGTGCATTGAGGGCGTCCATGTAGGATTAAAAAACTCGATCTGATTGGTCCATATCAGCATATTCATTAAATAAAAAAATATTAAGTATGATTAGAACGGAAAATTTTGATTTAAGTGGCCCACATCAGCTTTTAAATAAAACCAAAAATTATTAAGTATAATTAAAACATTAAAAGTTAATTTAACAAATTATGTCCAACAAAAAAAGTAAATTCAATCTGATTGATCCAAATCAACATATTTATTAAATCAGAAAATGTTAATATGTTTTAAAAATTTAAAAGTTAAATAAAAAAAATTAACAATTAACAATACATGTATAAAAAAAAGTAACCATTATCAATTATCAATTTTAAAAAAATCTACAACAACTTGATTTAACAATTAAAACAATGAAAACTGAATAAAAATATAACATAAAACTCTTGGAAGACATGATTGAGAAAGAAAAAATGGTTTATGATCATTACAGCTTCCTAAAAAAATTAAATGCAAATCAACATGAATCATAGATTATATATACAGTGGTACATAATATCAATACGACTTTCAATAAAAAACTAAATATTTGAACACATAAACTTTCAAGAAAAAAAAAACTAAAGAAATTCTATAAAAAACAAAAAATAATACCAAAATCTTCGCAAGATTATATTTCTCTAAATCAAATGTATATGTACGTCAAAATTGGATAATTCGATAGGTGTCACTGTTATGATTTTACCTAATAGTTTTTTAAAATTTATAAATAAAATAGGATAAATTACACATCATATATTAGATTCTCTTATATAAATGAAAATTTCTATAAATATATATATATTTTTTAATAATTTTAAAGATAGTAGCTAAAAAAAATAAATCAAAATATTAATACAGACTCGCGCGTAGCGCGAGTTATATACCTAGTAAAATAATAAATGTTAAGAAAGAAGAGGAGGAACACCTCTTAGACCATCTCCATCGATGGGTTTTTATAACAGTATCTTACTAAAAAATATTAATATAATAATAAAAGTTAAAGAAAGAAAAAGAAACCGTTTCCCAAATTGATTAAACAAGATATGTTTGTAGGTTTGTAAGCTTTTTTACAGACTCATTTAATATGTGTGCTTTTATGATTGGTTCAGATTCTTTCATTATTTAAAAACTAATATTTTTTTTTATAGATATTCTAAAGATTGTTAACCGCTAGAGATGCTCTTAAACTTCCTCTGTAAGGGACGTTTTTAAGCTTTTCAACAAACTCATTTAATACATGTTACTTTGTTATTGGTTTAGATTTTTTCATGAATTTAAAATTAATATCTTTTTTTTTAAAATACTTTTAGCCTTTCTAACCGCTGGACATGCTCTAAGAGCAGTTCCAATGGAGGTTCTAAACACAAGGTTTCTAGAAGAAAAAAAAATAATAATTGAAAATTAAATAGGTTGTTAAGAACAGGTTTTGAATAGAGTGTTTTTAGGATTTGTAAAAACTCCATATGTGTCTCATTTTCATTGGTTAATGTAAAAAAATAAAAACTTCTCCATTTCTCTTTCTTCATGTTTGTTTTTAATATGTTTTTATGTCATATTTGTTTAAAATTTTATGAAATGTAATAATATTTAAGTTTTATAAAATATAAAATGTTTAATAATTTAAACAAAATAAATTCTACTTAAAATATTATAATTTTTAAAATAATTTTTTTTTATTCTTAAGAACCTCAGATGAGGTTTTACCATTGGAGCATACAATTTTAATTATTTTTAAAAAAGGTTTTTAACTTAAAAAAAATTCAAAATTTATAGTTAAAATAATGCTAATTAGCATAAGAGGCTCTTTGCATTGGAGATGGTCGAATAATCCTCTAGAGAGTAATTTGTTGCATGAAGTTCACCAACCATAGCAGATATGAGCGAGGCTAACCATGAAAAGAGGAAAATCAAAATAACGCAACGCATTATTTGCGAAAGAATCGTGCATGAATGTGGCTACCCATGGAAACAATGTTCAATGAAGTAGAAGATAGGAGTTGTGTTTTGGGGAACCAAAATAATTTATCGTTACAAACAGTATGAACTGAAAACTGTTTTCCCTAAGCAAAAGACCTACAACATTTTGATTTAGTTAGTTAAACGTGGCCTTAAACTTCCAAATCATCATGCATTTAGTAAAGATCAGGTTCCAGTCTTCCAAAGAAGGTACAACTCAACAAACGCAAATCCGCTTGTTTCGTGTTGAAAAGAAAAGTAAAATAAATTAAAAAGCCATGGCAAAGGCTCAACATTATGCGATCATTGGGAATCAAGTTAGATCATAGGATTCTTAAGAAAGGCAATACTCTCGACGTGTTGAGGTACCATACGAACATAACAATCGATCTTCTTATACAACCCATAAGAGCGCCTGAACTCTTTGTTGTCTCCAATGCCTAAGAGCCTAACTCTTCTTTCTTTTTGTGTTTTAACATTGTAGTAGAAAATGTAGAAAGGTTCAACCTTTTTTGACAACTTATTTGGGAGAATAATGATCTCACCAGCTTTAGTTGCACCTGGAAACGAATATTCCACCACCTCAGCCCCAGGAGGAGCCAACATGGATTGCGGTAACACACATGTCTGCTTCGACCAGTCATTCTTCCCGACGTCTTCAAGTATCCATAAATCAAAACTACGGAGCTCGTAAAAAGGGTCTCTCGCAATAGAAGCTAGCTTCCCGTTGTAGTCTATGAATATCGACTAATTCCCCCAACGCACGACATCCACGGGTGCTGGGATAAAACTCATTTTCTCAGATCTAACATCAAAACGCACCATAACTGGATTATACTTATGTTTGGTAAGAGCACCATAGTAGAGAACTCCGTTGATGCATACTCCCGCATATACTATCTGCGTATAAGGTTCAGGGTTACCTTCAATGTGTCTCCATCCTTGAGTTCCTCCCAATGTTAACACCTTGTGACTTGGCGGATCACCTTGTGGACGATACACGGTTAATGCTTTGTATTGACCACCGATCGGATCGTATCCCACAAAGGCAGCGGATTTGGGCATCGTAACGAGTTGCTCTGTGCTAGGGTTACAAACGATCATCCCACAATCAGTTTCAACACTGAGAAAGCCATGGAGAGAAGCGAAATACGCTTGCCCCCTTAATCTCGTTGGTATTGCCATCTCGAATTTGGGTACCAAAGAAGAAGACTCCTCCTCTCCTCCGAGTGAAAACGAGTAGAAGAAGGTAAGCTTCTCCTCAGGCTTAGAGTCTACACCGTTAGTCAAAGCGACTATAAACCGCGGTTTCGTTGAGGACATTGCGTAGTAATAATCGATGAATTCTCGGCTTCTGATGATGGAAGACCACGTCTTCGTAAGAGACTTGGCAGGCAATTTACTCAGTGTGGCCAGCTTTAGGTCAAGAGGGAGAGAATCTAAGATACTTGGGGGTGTGTCTTTCTCATCGTCCTCGTTACGATCTCTCTCCTTGCGTTTCATGGTGAAACCCTAAATTCGACTCGGAGAAGAACGGTTGGAATGAAATCTGCATAAGAATCACAAAGATCTAGATTTCTACTCGAGCAAAGTGGTTTCCTTTATTTTTGGGTTTCTTAGATGTTTGTAAAGGAGTTTTTTTTTAATGGGTTTTATTTTATTTCTTAGATTAGGGTATTTCTATTTAAACTGCGAATTCAATTTCTACGCCTACCTTGGGGAAAAAGTTTTCAATTTTATATGACAAACTTCAAGCCCGTGGCTTTCATTTTAAATCTTGATGATATTCTATTTTGTTTTAACCTGCTTTCTTTTTCTTCTCTTTCTCCATTTTTTACTTCAACACATTCGCAATTGACATGAAATTGAAACCGGTCACGCAGTTTTAGTGGTTTATTAATTAGGTTTATTCGAATTTTAGTGAGTTTTTTTACATCTGGATTTTAGTGCTAGATCCGAAATGGATAACTGAGTGGTTTTCGAGTTTATCGGTATGGCCGAGTAGTCCTGTTCGGGTTTGAAAATATTAAGAACATAACTCATACATAAATCATGAGATATCGAAAACTAGTTTATTTCGTGTCTAAAAAGTAAATGTAAAAATCAATATCTATCGATATAGAGAAAAAAACACACTACTAATTAAAATCGACATTGGATAAAAAGAAGAAAAAAATAAAAACACATTATAAAAAGGTAAAATTTGCAAAATATTCGAGAGATATATAGAATTAAAATGTTATGTTTTCATAAAAGGTTATGGGTGAATATATTATTAGATGTAACTGGGTCTCATTTGGATATAAGAAGTTTACATGTTGAAGTGACAATGAAGAAAACTGAATTCATTTATAAGCTACTTACTATTAGTCTACAACGTACTCAATCCATTTTATAGACTTTAATGAAAATTTTGAATTGTATATTTTAATTTAAATGATAACCTAAATAGTAATTTCTAAAACTGTTATGGATTTATTTTAAATGTATGTTATTAAAATCACCAGCGTATAATTATTTTCTATAAAAAATTTAATTTCTAACAAACAAACAAAAAAAACTCATGCGTAGCAAAACCAATATATAGAAAAAAGATTTTTTTAAAAAAAATCATGCGTAACAAAACAAAAACCAAATTAAAATGTATAGAAAAACCGATTTGAAATGTATAAGTTCTAATCCTACTCCTCCTCTTACTCCTCTTTCTACTCCCCCTTCTCAAAAAATTCCGCAGAAGAAATTTACAAACTTCTCTTTGTGTCAAGTTTTGTGATATATCATGGTTTTTATGGTTTTTAACCATGATATAAGTCCTTTTTATTGAGTCTTTTTGGTCTTTTTAGAGTCCTAGAAGAGTCTTTGCAGGTTATAGCATGTCTGGAGCATAATTGGAGATATTGGAACCTTTTGGAGCATTCTGAGTTGAAGCCACGAAGTACCAAGATCGAAGCAGAAAGTATTCACTAATGGTGACGATCGTCACCCCATTGGTGACGCTCGTCACCCAGATAGGAAGGAGCGTGGCTATTTGTTAAAAGTATCAAGAAGAATTGCAGAACTTACCCAGAAGTTTCCTTTATTTATATGAAGACCCCAGATCGTGTTTAGCCCCTATTTATTAGGTTTTTCAGCCACTGTTGGCAAGGATCTTAGTTTTTGGAGAATTCAGAGAGCTAGAGAGAGATTTTATTCAGAGCTTTTTTGGGGAGACAAATCCTGTACTATTTAGAGAAGATTTCGAACCCCCTTTGTTTTCTACTCTTTCTCTTAATGCAATTTTATTCAGTTATGCTTTGTGATCTCATAATCATGTCTGAGTAATCTGCCAGTTAAGTTAGGGTTTTTCAAAGGTTGATGAAAAGAGTGTAGAATCGCTATCTGTTAGGATTATCTCATGGTTTTTCATCTCTGCTTGCTTTAAAATCGAATTTCTGAGACACATCATCTAGGAATCCGAAAATCATAGGTTGTTAAATATATGTGAGAGCATTATTTATAACCTGAACTAGTATTTGATGAGCAAAACAACTTAGTACAAAGAGATTTGGCTTAGGAGTAAACAATTGAATCTGATCATTCCTGCATACTTAGGTTGTTAGGATTTGCAAAGAGATTTGAAACTCTGTGATCTAGGTATAGATAACTTCTGCAATGAGAATTGATTAGTTATGCATTAGAGATTCATGTTTAAAAACGGTTCTTAATCATTCCTGATTTCCTGCATTCTGCATTCTTGGATTCATACCTGCGAATTACCCTAGCTTAGCGCTTTTAGTCTTCCTGAACTTAGAACATATCATACCATCGTTTGCTTATTTCTAATTATTCATTCGCATTACATACATCATATTTCGCTTAGCTTAGTCCAAATCTATAATTGATAGTGTAGTTAGCATTACTCTCTTGGGATTTCGATACCCCTTATACTACATCTGCTTTGCTGTGCACTTGCAGTAGTTTTTATTTGGGTAAAACATTGAGCCTATCAAGTTTTTGGCGCCGTTGCCGGGGAGTAATAGCTGCCTATCGATTTTTAGTATTAGGATTTTGTCTAAGTTTTTATTTTTTACTGATTTTCAGCTACTTTTCTTTGTTCCTGTTTCAGGTGTATGCCTAATCGCAGAACCAGAAGCAACAAAGAGAAGGAGCTTGTGACTTTGAGCATCGACGAGCTTGCTAGGTTGGAGAGAACTAACAGGAAAGCTAAGAAGCAATCTGCAATGGTCGCTCCACTGATCTTGGTTGAAGATGCAGAAGGTCACTTGGTTGACAGGGAAGGAAATATGAGGAACGAAGAGGGGCAGAGAATTGATCAAGAGGGGAATGTCATTGTTGAACAGCAGGTTCAGCAAGTGGCTGAGAACGTGGGAGTCCCTGCTGCTGTCAATAACGCTGCTGGGCATTTTGTTCAGAGGACTCTAGGTGATTACAACAGACCTGATCAGTTCTATGCCAACAGAGCTGCAATCCGACCTCCTGCCTTCCAGAGGAACGATTTTGAGGTTAAACCTGTCTACTATCAGCTAGTTGGACAGCATCCCTTCCATGGTTTACCTCATGAGCATCCTATGGATCACATAGAGAGGTTTGAGGACCTAGCTTCCAGTGTCAAAGCTAATGGGGTTAGCAATGACTTTCTGTTCTGCAAGCTTTTTCCCTATTCTCTTGGAGGAGAAGCTGCATATTGGCTGAAGCAACTGGAACCTGCTTCACTAACTACTTGGGAGGACACCAAGAATGCTTTTCTGAATAATTTCTATGATGATGCCAGATCAGAAGATATGAGAACGAAAATTGCATCATTTACACAAGGCCCTACTGAAGCTTTCAAGGCTTCTTGGATCAGGTTCAAGTCTTATCAGAGGGACTGTCCTCATCATAGTTTCAGTCAGGTGCAATTGCTTGGGATCTTTTTCAGAGGCATTGACTGGAAATATCAGATGGCGCTGGATGCTTCAAGCAGTGGAAACTTCAATACCAACAGACCAGAGGAGGCGGTGAGACTGATTGAGAACTTGGTCTGCAGCAACAGCACTAAAAATGCAGACTTTCAGAGAATGAAACAAGCTGGTGCAGCTGATGGAAATCAGATTGCTGAAGTTAAGGCTAAGTTGGATGATATGCACAGCCTTTTGGTAGGGAAGAAGTTAGTTCACTTTGCTGCAGAAGTAGAGACTTTCGAAGCTCCAGAGGAAGTTGAGCAGGAGGATGTAAATTTCATCAACTCTGGCGGATTTCAGGGACAAAGGTATGGGAATCAGCAGTGGAACAGAGGATACAGCAACAACAATCAGAAAAACGCCCCTACAGGAGGACAGAACACGCCTGGTTTCACTCCTAGACCCCCTTTTCAGAAGACAGAGTATCAGAAGCCATTCCAGAGCAGTGGAAACTACAGACACTATGGTTCTACTTCCTATCAACCAGCACCTCCACAAGAGAACAAAATGGAAGCAATGTTAGAACAGATTCTGGAAGGACAACAGAAGCTTACTGTGAACTTCAATGGCAAGATAGATTCGCTCTATCAGGACCTGAATGGGAAAATTGAGAGTCTGAACTCTCATATGAAGAAGCTTGATGTTCAAGTTGCTCAAACTGCAGGAGCTGTTCAGAGGCAAGAAGGATTTCTTCCAGGAAGAACTGATGCTAATCCCAAACACCACGTGAATGCCATCACATTGAGGAGTGGAAGGAACCTGCAACCAGTGTTGCAGAAGGATATAACCTCAAGAAATTTCGTGGGTGTAGAAGAGTATGAAGATGAAGAAAATTTTGCTGCAGAACCATTGGTGACGATCGTCACCAATAATGGGTGTCGCTCGTCACCCAATGAGGACAACCCCGAGCCTGATTCTTCACTTATTGGTGACGACCGTCACCAAGGGGGTGACGCTCATCACCCAAATCCAGTACTCGACCCCGACTTGTCCAAAGTGAGTGACGCTCGTCACCAGTCCAGTGACGCTCGTCACCAGACACCACATATTGCAGTTTCGCCTAAGACTTCAGATAATGCTAAGGAGACCGTGTATAAACCCAAGATATCCTATCCTAAGCATCCTAAGAAGTCTAAGCAGGAGCTTGAGGATGCCAGATGCAAGGCTATCATGGACAAGTTGGTGATAGAGATCCCATTGATTGATGCTGTAAAGATCACTCCTGTTATTAGGAGGTATGTGAAGAGAATGGTGACCAACAACTTGAGCCTTGAGGTTAGAGCTATGATGATCAACGAGCAGGTCAGTGCAGTGATTCAGAACAGAGTTCCAGAGAAGCTTTCAGACCCAGGAAGCTTTGTTTTAGACTGCACCATCTTCAATGACAAGTTTGAGAGGTCATTGTGTGATCTTGGTTCTAGTGTGAACCTCATGCCCTACTCTGTTGCAAAGAGTTTGGGGATGACTGATTTTAAAACTATAAGGATATCTCTTGTCCTAGCTGATAGATCAGTTAGAGTTCCTGAAGGGGTGATAGAGGATGTTCCTATCAAAGTAGGAGAT